AAGACATGGGGTGTTCACTATTTGCAGATGATGGAGCTGTTTGGAAACGAGGGAAAAATTTTGATTTTATTGTTAAAAAATTACAAAAGGTTATTATTGAAATAGAGAAATGGGCATTGCAATGGGGATTTAAGTTCTCAGTTGATAAAACAAAAGTAATGTTATTTACTCAGAAAAAAATAAACAAGGAAATAAAATTAAAATTATACAAACAAGAGTTAGAGCAGGTAAAGTGTATAAAATTTTTAGGATTATGGTTTGATGAAAAATTAAAATGGCATATACATATACAAAAAGTTGTTGATAAATGTAAGAAAATCTTGAATATTTTGAGATGTTTGGCTGGCAGTGACTGGGAAGCAGAGAGGAAATCACTAAAACAGATTTACACAAGTATGATAAGATCCAACATAGACTTTGGTTGTTTAGGGTACGGTTCAGCAGCTAAAACACATCTAAACAAATTAGACATTATCCAACATCAGGCACTAAGATTATGTACTGGAGCATTTAAAACCACACCAACAGCAGCATTAGAAATAGAAATGGGAGAAATGCCATTAGATTTAAGAAGAACAAAATTAGAAATTAATTACTGGTTAAATTTACAAGGAAATAATGGGGATCACCCAACTTTGGACATTTTAAATCCATGCTGGGAAAAAGAAAAGAAAGAAATGAGGAGTTTTGGATGGACAATTGAAAATAAAATAAAAAATTTAAAATTAATAGTTTAGAAATTAGTCAAACAACACCAATATCAATTATACCTCCCTGGATTCTACCAGAAGCAACAGTAGATATGTCACTAATGGAAAAGAAACAAGATAAATCGTACACGGTAGATATTAATTTAGTACAGTTACATTTAGACAGTTATTATCAATATATTCAAATTTATACTGATGCATCAAAAATAACTGAGAAACTAGGAATAGCATTTGTTGTACCAGAATTCAATATAAAAATAGGAAAAAAAATTACAGATGGATTATCAGTATACAATTCAATTCAATTCAGTTTATTTATATAGCGCCAAATTCACAACACATGTCATCTCAAGGCACTTTACAGTTCAACCAGATCATACAGTCAAATTGATACAAAGTTTTCTATCTAAGGAAAACCAGTTGATTGCATTGACTCATTGACTCAAATACAATCCCCCACACTAAGCATGCTTGTAGCGACAGTGGAGAGGAAAAACTCCCTTTTAACAGGAAGAAACCTCCAGCAGAACCAGGCTCAGTGTGAGCGGCCATCTGCCGAGGCCGACTGGGGTTCAAGGAGACAGAAGCAGAGATACAAAAAGCAGCTGTAAAAGGCGGCCCCGTCCAGGAAACACACAGCCAGGCAGACGAGCTCCAAGGCAGCTCCCATGCCAGAGGACGAAGAGAGCACATCTACTCAGTCACGGTCAGAGAAACAGGACCACACTGGAAAACAGGCCGATCTCCAACATCTATTAACAAGGGTGTTGATAGAAGCAGCACAGCTGATGCTTCTTTCCAGGATGACGTCACAGCCAAACAGGAACAGACGAGGCAAAGCTACTCTGAGGAAAAGCAGAGAGAGCAGAAGGTTAGAGATTGAACTAACAGATTCTGCAGAGTGGGAGAACAGAGAGAGAATGAAGCAGAATGATGAAATGGGGGTCCCTATGTCCTCCAAAAGTCTAAGCCTATAGCAGCATAACTATAGAGATAGCTCAGGATAACCTGAGCCACCCTAACTATAAGCTTTATCAAAAAGGAAAGTTTTAAGCCTAGCCTTAAAAGTAGACAGGGTGTCTGCCTCACGGACTAAAACTGGTAGTTGGTTCCACAGGAGAGGAGCCTGATAACTAAAAGATCTGCCTCCCTTTCTACTTTTAGAAATTCTAGGAACCACTAGTAAACCTGCAGATTGAGAGCGAAGTGCTCTGTTAGGAACATAAGGAACAATCAGATCTCTGATATCAGATGGAGCTTGGCCATTTAAGGCTTTATATGTGAGAAGGAGGATTTTAAATTCTATTCTTGATTTAACAGGAAGCCAATGAAGAGAAGCCAGGATAGGCGAGATATGATCTCTCTTTTTCATTTTCATTAGAACTCTGGCTGCAGCATTTTGGATCAGCTGAAGGCTTTTAACTACAGTTTGTGGACTTCCTGATAGTAAAGAATTACAATAGTCCAGCCTTGAAGTAACAAATGCATGGACTAGTTTCTCAGCATCACCCCTGGACAGGATATTTCTAATTTTTGCAATGTTCCTCAGATGAAAGAAGGAAATTCTAGAAACCTCTTTGATATGGGATTTAAATGACAGGTCCTGATAAAAAAAAACAAAGATTTTTTACTTTATTATCTGAAATCAGTTTAATCCCATCCAAATGAAGTGACTGACTAATCAGCTTCTTTTTCAGAGACTCTGGTCCAAAGACTATAACTTCTGTTTTGTCTGCATTCAGAAGCAGAAAGTTAAGAGTCATCCAGGTTTTTATGTCTTCAAGACATGCCTGTAATCTATGTAATGGGTTAGCTTCATCTGGATTTATAGACAGATATAGCTGGGTATCATCAGCATAACAGTGAAAATTAATCCCATGCTGTCTAATAACTCTACCAATTGGGAGCATGTATAAAGTAAAGAGAATTGGTCCTAGCACTGATCCCTGTGGTACAGGAGAAATGCAGGAGAAATACGCAGGAGAAATGTTGGCAATATTATTAGCGTTACAATGGGTAGAAGACGTAAAACCATTAAAAACAATAATATGTTCAGATTCAAGCTCTGCATTGTTAAGTTTAAAAAATAACCAAACCGATAGTAGGATGGACATTTTATTAGAAATAAATCATACACTGTTCAGAATACGAAACATGGGGCTGATAGTTACATTTGTGTGGGTTCCAGCACATATTGGGGTAGAAGGAAACGAGAGGGCAGATAAAATGGCAAAAAGGGCAATTAAACATTTTCATTAGTTTTATAGTTAAAATAAGTAAATCAGAAGGAAAGAGTATTATTAAAGAGAAACTTATGGAAATTTGGTGGGATGAAGATAAAACAGGAAGATGGTTTTATAAAATTCAGAAGATGGTAGGAGAAAGAAGAAATGGAAGAAGAAATAGAAAGGAGGAAAGAGTGATAACAAGGTTAAGATTTGGTCATACAGGACTTAATTATACACTTTTTAAAATACAAAAACATAAAACGGGCAAATGTGATTTCTGTGATAAATATGAAACCATAGAACATGTTATATTAGAATGTCATAATTATGAAAGAGAGAGAAGATATATGAGAAGAGAGTTTGAAGACATTAAGGAGAAGGTTAATTTATTAGATATACTGAGGAAAAATTTAGGGAGTAAACACATACAAATAATTATTCGATTTCTAAAGAAAACGAAATTATTCCATAGAATTTAATTATAGTAAGTGTGTTTGTGAGTGAAGGGATGATATACAAAGCTGTGCACAAATATGTATATATTTTTAAGTGTGAATGTGTGAATGTATGTTTAGAAGAAGTTAGGGTAGAATGCAGTGGCGGCTGGTGAAAAATATTTTTGGTGGGGCTGATATAGCCTAGTGTATGTCTCCAACTAATCCGGAACAAGAATTCAAATAAACAATTGGACAATACATACAATTTAACAGTAATGATTTAATTTACTATATAATAACAGTAACAGTGATGATTTGGGTCACTGTGACGGGGTTCTTTGGCCTCCAAGAATCCAGTCTCAGTCAGGTTACCGGTGTTGGTGATTTATTGAGCTCAAAAACTCAAAACAGGGTGCAAAAGAAACTAAACATACAAGATACTCTGGGCCTCAGCCTCCCTCCAGTTACCAGCAATGTAACAAAGAAACAGAAAACAAAAATTGCCGCTTTTCTTCCCACAGCCCTCATTAAATAGTTTAAGCCCCTCACCTCAGGCTCTCTTATTTCTGATTTCTTCTCATAAATCAGTTTTGTCCATATATTACCTCCACAAACAATTGATGTACAAAAACAAATAATTTTTACAACTTAATTCTTTTACACAGATTCATTGACTTATTCAATTACACCAAACTGGGTTTGAACCCAGCAAAGACGCAGCCAGACTGAAGATGACAAGTCCCCGTAGCACACACACACACACACACACACACACACACGGCTAACCCCACTGAAATATTAAGTGTGCACCCTCAATACGCCAGCAGGTAACCAGGAACAGCTTGTGTGTTTTAAGTTCATGGAGCTACTGGGCTCAGCGCGAGCGGATTGGTCCTCACAAACACAGTATAACAGGAATGTGTGTGTGGCGCGCAAAGTTAGAGAGGTTGTTTTAAGCGACGAGGTGGATTCGTCACAGTCACAATAACCATGACATGAAATGTTCATATCCTACAACAGGGATATTCTTCTGGCAAACGGGTAGATAAATAAGGATCTCACCGAATTTGGTGGAAGCTGCATCTCGTTCGTTACATTCGCCATCTTCCCTCTAACTGTCTGCACCTGCGCTTGGGTTCAGAAGCCTGTTAAAGCGCAGTATTTTCAGCGCCCCAATACCATAAAGTTCTGAGACGCTGATTGGCCATTAAATTCACCTAGCAATAGTACATGATTGACAGATTCTCTGCAAATGTGGGGCTGTCTGATCAGCGCCCCAGGAACAGAGACGGTAGGAGTCTGTCTGTGGAAATCCACAAATTAATGACAGTAGATAGGGAAATGTAGTTTATATAATTTGTTTTGCTTATAGGTACACAGTCTAGAGAGTAAAACTGACATTTATGAGTTAATTTCTAAAAATATATTTTACGTTTCTGTCTTCTTATCAGGGAGGGCGGTGCCCCAGCGCCCCCTATGGGCCGGCCGCCACTGGTAGAATGTATCAGGATAAATATTTAAACCATCACGAACCACACTCCATACCAGTAAGTTGCGGTAATGCTACTAACAGTTTGTTGCCAACCGCCATAAAACTCGACAAGAAGAAGAAGAAGACTTCCTTGTCCTGTTTAGGCTCCGCCCCTTTTGACGCAGTTCCTGTTTTTACTCGGGCTTTATTTTGTACCGCTGCTATTAATAATAATAAGTTATACTTTTGATGCTTATTTATCATGCATTTATTTTGATTGTAAGATTTCCGGATTGTGCAAGTGGTTTAAAAATAAACGGTTAATCCTTGTTAAAAGCAAAATGGCGGAAGAGCCGCTGCTACATCGCTGTTAGCATCCGATTTCTGCTCCCTGGAGCAGTGTGTGGACCGACCTGCTGTCCTCCGGCCGGAGTTCAGCGCTTCTCTGGGCAGTTTGAGGGCAAACACTGAACACGGACCGAGGGGAGACCACGGCGGCTTGCAGGCAGCAGCGGCTAGCAGCAGCAGCGACTAGCAGGGAGCAGCAGCGGCTAGCAGCAGCGGCTAGCAGCAGTAGCGACCTGCCCGCCGTATGAGAGAGCAGCCTCAGCTCGGCGGATAGCTGTCAGCTCTCCATGAGGAGGAACGTCGCGGATGTTGATGACCTTAACTCTCCAACAACAGGCAGCAAAGATGAACCGGAAGAAAGACAAAGGATTTGAGAGCCCTCGGCCTTTTAAATTATGAGTATTTTTCTGGCTGTTGGTGTTGTAACCAGTCTGAACCTTCAGGCTGATGATCTAACTGGCTTCTGTTTAATGTCTCTACGACCCACCAGGTGGTGTGCATCAACAACATCAACTTCCAGAGGAAGTCTGTCATTGTGAGTAGCTCCTCTCCTCTGGGACCATCTGACCTTCCAACAGGAAACATCCCAGACAGAAGGGATGGTTGAAGGATAAATTAATACAAACAGTCCTAACGATCCCACTGATCTTTTTTTTTTTTATCAAACAAAGGGTATTGAATAAAGGACTGACTGATTTGAAAGATAAGCAAACAAGCAACAATAAACAACAATATAAATATCATCCTAGATAAACAAAGAGCTAAAACATTATAGCTCTGTTATTGAAAACTGTTCTAAACCTGGAATCTGGGAACCTTTCTAAAAAGTTTCACAGTTTCCTCTTTCTGTTACCATAGCAACATTCTCCCTGGTCAGCAGCAGGTTTTCAGTGTCCTCTGGCTCCGCCCTCCTTACAGCCAATCACCATGCTTCATTTTCTGATTTATTCAGCAGACTTCTGAACATAGAGAACTCTTCTAGAAAAATAAAGATAATGGAGATGATAGATAATAGTCAGTAGATCATGGTCGTAGGCTCTTCCTGTTGCCTATCAACATGTTGGTAGGCACTTCCTGTTGCCTAGGGTTAGGGCAACCACCTCTTATCCACTGAGGTGGAGATCTGTGATACAGAGAGGTCATCACTACATCCTCCAGAGGAATATTCCCCAGCTTCTAGCTGAGCAGATGAAGAAGACCTCAGGTCTGGTGAAGCTGTGGCTGTGACCTGCTGTCCTCCATCTTGCAGGGCTACGTGGAGCTGACCATCTTCCCCACTGTGGTCAACCTGAACCGGATCAAGCTCAACAGCAAACAGTGTCGCATCTACAGGGTGAGAGTCAACGAGCTGGAGGCACCGTTCATCTACAATGACCCCACCCTGGAGGTGTGCCACAGCGAGTCCAAGCAGTGAGTAGAAGCAGCCCTGTGGCAGAGGGGGCGGGGCTTCAGCTCCATCTGGGTGGTAGGCCAGGTCAGGTTATAATGGCTGACTGGCTGGTTATTAGCTGACCAGAACCAAACGCATCAGAGATGGCGGAGGTAGTTGGTAGTTTCTGGCTGTGTTGGAGCAATGGGAGGAGCCAGAGGAGGAGGAGGTCATCTCCTCAGTTTGACCTCAGGTGTAGAAGGAGCTGCTTTAAGCTCCGCCTGCTCTGTGTGTGAACAGGCGGAACCTGAACTACTTCTCCAGTGCCTACACGGCGGCGGTCAGTGCAGTGGACCCGGATGCTGGGAACGGAGAACTGGTGATCAAAGTTCCCTCTGAGCTCTGGAAGCAGGGAGACGGTGAGACCATGGCTCCACTGCCTTCAACATGACCTGCAGCAGGTCAGGCTGGCGGCGCCGCTCCCACTCTGGGGGCTATCTGAGGTTGTTCCTGCCTGTGTCCAGATCTGAAGGTGCTGAAGGTTTACATCGAGTTCTCCCTGGACCAGCCCAAAGGGGGGCTCCACTTTGTTGTTCCTGATGTGGAGGGCAGCATGGCGGAGAGGGGGGCCCACGTCTTCTCCTTTGGATACCAGAACTCCACCAGGTGAGACGGGAAGTTGAAGCACATCCTGCAATGTTTCCATGTCCCACAGTCTCCTGCCCTCACCGTGTCTCCTCCTCCCCCAGGTTCTGGTTCCCCTGTGTGGACTCCTATTCAGAGCTGTGTACCTGGAAGCTGGAGTTCACTGTGGATGCATCCATGGTGGCCGTGTCCTGTGGGGACCTGATGGAGACCATCTACACCCACGACATGAGGAAGAAGACCTTCCACTACGTCCTCCCCATCCCCACTGCGGCCCCCAACATCTCCCTGGCTGTGGGGCCCTTTGAAATCCTGGTAGACCCCTACATGCACGAGGTGTGTACCCAGATTCAGTCAGAAGCAGCTTCATTCAGCCGTGCTTGATGGACAAATCTTTATTTATGATTCAATTCACAACCCTTTAACTCCACTCACTTTAGATGGATGGATGATGGATGGATGATGGATGGATGATGGATGGATGATGGATGGATGGATGGATGGATGGATGGATGGATGGATGGATGATGGATGGATGATGATTGATGGATGGATGGATAATGGATGGATGATTGATGGATGATGATTGATGGATGATGGATGGATGGATGATGGATGGATGGATGATGGATGGATGGATGATGGATGGATGGATGGATGGATAATGGATGGATGGATGGATGGATGATGATTGATGGATGATGGATGGATGATGGATGGATGTATGGATGGAGGATGATTGATGGATGATGGATGGATGGATGGATGATGGATGGATGATTGATGGATGGATGGATGGATGATGGATGGATGGATGGATGGATGGATGATGATTGATGGATGATGGATGGATGGATGGATGATGGATGGATGATTGATGGATGATTGATGGATGATGGATGGATGGAGGATGATTGATGGATGATTGATGGATGGATGGATGATGGATGGATGATGATTGATGGATGGATGTATGGATGGATGATGATGGATGGATGGATGGATGGATGGATGGAGGATGATTGATGGATTGATGGATGGATGATGATTGATGGATGGATGGATGGATGGATGGATGGATGGTGGATGTATGGATGGATGGATGATGGATGGATGGATGATGATTGATGGATGGATGGATGGATGGATGATGGATGTATGGATGGATGGATGGATGGATGGATGGATGGATGGAGGATGATTGATGGATGATGGATGGATGGATGATGGATGGATGATGATTGATGGATGATGGATGGATGGATGATGATTGATGGATGATGGATGGATGTATGGATGGATGGATGGATGGATGGATGGATGGAGGATGGATGGATGGATGGATGATGGATGGATTGATGGATGGATGGATGGATGATGGATGGATGATGATTGATGGATGGATAATGATTGATGGATGGATGATGGATGGATGGATGTATGGATGGATGATGATTGATGGATGGATAATGATTGATGGATGGATGATGGATGGATGGATGATGGATGGATTGATGGATGGATGGATGGATGATGGATGGATGATGATTGATGGATGGATAATGATTGATGGATGGATGATGGATGGATGGATGTATGGATGGATGATGATTGATGGATGGATGTATGGATGGATGGATGGATGGAGGATGGATGGATGATGGATGGATTGATGGATGGATGGATGATGGATGGATTGATGGATGTATGGATGGATGGATGAATGATGGATGAATAATTGGTGAATGGATGATGGATGGATGGATGATGGATGGATGGATGGATGGATGGATGATGATGAATGGATGGATGATGGATGGATGGATGATGATGGATGGATGGACCCCACTCTATATAGCGATGGAGGGATCTTGGGGTTGGGGCGGATGTTTGGACACTGCTCCTGCAGGGCAGGTGGAGCTGCTCTTGCTGTTCTTGTAATGACCACCAGGTGTCATGGTAGAGCTGCTTCAGCTGCTGTCCTCTGTTCTGCAGGTGACCCATTTCTGCCTGCCTCAGCTGCTTCCTCTGCTCAAACACTCCATGTCCTACCTGCATGAGATCTTTGAGTTCTACGAGGAGATCCTGACGTGCCGCTACCCGTATTCATGCTTCAAGACTGTGTTTGTGGATGAGGCCTACGTGCAGGTGTCGTCCTACGCCTCCATGAGCATCTTCAGGTGGGGTGAGAGCTGCTGCTTTTTGACCTCTCGTCCCAGGGTCAACTGTGACGTGTTTCCTTTGTGTTTTAGCACCAACCTGCTGCACAGCCCTACCATCATCGACCAGACCCCGCAGACCCGCCGCTGTCTGGCTCAGGCCCTGGCCCAGCAGTTCTTTGGCTGTTTCATCTCCAGGATGTCCTGGTGAGGCTGACCTGTCTGCATCATGTTAGCCCTGCACAGCATTAACCGTCTGATCACCGGCCCGACCTGCTGCGTTAGAGCAAACTAGTGAAAGTTAGATTAAAAGGAGGGAGGTAGACAAAGTTCAGCTCAGCAGGAGGTTTGCAGCCATTTTAACAGCCTCGTAAATCCATGGAGATGACCTCTGACCTCATCACTCATTTAGGCTGCAGGGCGCTCGATGAAGCTGAACTCCCAGCCTGATCCAGGAGGGCAATAAATGCTGCAGACTAACCTCCCTGTGTTCAACCTCCTCCTCCCCGTGTTCAACCTCCTCCTCCCCGTGTTCAACCTCCTCCGCGTGTTCAACCTCCTCCTCCCCGTGTTCAACCTCCTCCTCCCCGTGTTCAACCTCAGTCTCCCTCTGTTAAACCTCCTTTTCACCTCCTATGTTTCCTCCTGCAGGGCTGATGAGTGGGTGTTGAAGGGCATTTCTGGCTACATCTACGGCCTTTACCTGAAGAAGACCTTTGGAGTCAATGAATACCGCCACTGGATCAAAGAGGTGCTGCTTTGCTTTCTTTCTGCTCAATGTTCCGTGGAACCACAGAAAGAACCACAGCTTTCATGGTTTCTCCGAGCCCCCCTCAGCCCCAGGCCGGTGGTACCAGGCCTGCGGTAGCGATACCAGTCCGGCAGTAGTGATACCAGTCCGGCGGTAGTGATACCAGGCCGGTAGTAGTGATACCAGTCCGGCGGTAGTGATACCAGTCCGGCGGTAGCCGTACCAGGCCGGCGGTAGCGGTACCAGGCCGGCGGCAGCCGTACCAGGCCGGCGGTAGCCGTACCAGGCCGGCGGTAGCCGTACCAGGCCGGCGGTAGCGATACCAGGCCGGCGGTAGCGGTACCAGGCCGGCGGTAGCCGTACCAGGCCGGCGGTAGCGATACCAGGCCGGCGGTAGCGGTACCAGGCCGGCGGTAGCGATACCAGGCCGGCGGTAGCGATACCAGGCCGGCGGTAGCCGTACCAGGCCGGCGGTAGCGGTACCAGGCCGGCGGTAGCGGTACCAGGCCGGCGGTAGCGGTACCAGGCCGGCGGCAGCCGTACCAGGCCGGCGGTAGCGATACCAGGCCGGCGGTAGCGGTACCAGGCCGGCGGTAGCGATACCAGGCCGGCGGTAGCGATACCAGGCCGGCGGTAGCCGTACCAGGCCGGCGGTAGCGGTACTCTGTGCTCTGATGTGCCTCCAGCAGGTGCAGCCTCTCTAACCTACATGTTCATTTAGATGCTGTTGTTTTCCAGGAGCTGGACCGGATCGTGGTATACGAGCTGAAGATGGGAGGCGTTCTGCTGCACCCCACCTTCATTGGAGGCAAAGAGAAGGACAAGTAAGGACCTCCTGGTGACGGCAGCCTCTCACCACACAACCTTTGATTGACCCTTAAGCTCAGCTCCCTCTGAGAACATAGATCTAGGTCCAGCAGAGTGATGACCAGGCCTCTCTCTCTTTCAGTCCTACTCCCCACCTCCACTTCTCCATCAAGCACCCCCACACTCTATCCTGGGAGTACTTCAGGATGTTCCAGTGCAAGGCCCACCTGGTGATGAGGCTGATTGAGAACCGGATAAGCATGGAGTTCATGCTGCAGGTCCCACTCGCTCCCTCCACTGTTCTGTCCCGCTCGCTCTCCCTATCTCAATCTGCCTCTCTGTCCTCCTGAAGGTCTTCAACAAGCTGCTGAGCCTGGCCAGCACGGCGTCCTCTCAGAAGTACCAGAGCCACATGTGGAGCCAGATGCTGCTGTCCACCCACGCCTTCCTCAAGTCCATCTCCAACGTCTCCGGCAAAGACATCGGCCCTCTGATCAAGCAGTGGGTGTATCCTTCCAGAACCGCTGCACATGTTCCCTTCTTTCCAAGCAGATCTTCCTGCCCGTTCAGCCTTGACTCCTCCTGAGCAGAGATCAGAGCGGCGTGGTGAAGTTTTTCGGCAGCTTTGCTTTCAACAGGAAGAGGAACGTTCTGGAGCTGGAGATCCGCCAGGACTACACGTCCTCTGGAACCCAGAAATATGTGGTGAGCTGCAGGAGCGGGCTGGCGGGCTGCAGAATGTGGGGTGTCCCGCTCTAACTTCTCCTCCTGTCTCCGAAGGGCCCCATCAAGGTGACGGTCCAGGAGCTGGATGGCTCCTTCAACCACACGCTGCAGATAGAGGAGAACAGCCTGAAGCATGACATCCCCTGCCACTCCAAGAGCAGAAGGTAGCAGAAGGTTCTGGAGGGTCCCGCTGCTGCACTTATGCTCTGATGGATTTACCCTCTGACTGTTGAACAGGAACAAGAAGAAGAAGATTCCCCTGATGAATGGAGAAGAAGTGGACATGGACCTGTCTGCTATGGAGTAAGACCTTCAGCCTGTCTGATGATCGTCGGAGTCGGAATCCCGCGCTGATGTCTTGTGTCCTGTGTTTTCCTCTGCAGCGCCGACTCTCCTCTGCTGTGGATCCGGATCGACCCGGACATGTCCATCCTGAGGAAGGTGGAGTTCGAGCAGGCCGACTTCATGTGGCAGTACCAGCTGCGATACGAGAGGGACGTGGTGGCACAGGTAGGCGAGGAGGAGCCTCTGACCGGCAGCTTGGTCACTGGTCCAGTCGGGGCGGTCCTGGTACCGGGCTTTAATCCATCCATGAACACCAGGGAAGTAGAAAGTCGTCCTCTAGATGAAGAAACTTTTCTCTCACTCTGAAATTTGCAGCCAGGTTCTTAGACCCGACAGCCTGACCTCCTCAGTCAGGACCATCCTAGATCTAATGATAGTCGAGGTAGAGGTTTTCCAGGCCGTTTCCATGGTTACCCCAGCTGTTTCCTGTCTCCTAGGAGGAAGCCATCACAGCGCTGGAGAAGTTCCCCACCCCCGCCTCCAGACTAGCTCTGACGGACATCCTTGAGCAGGAACAGTGTTTCTACAAGGTCCGCATGCAGGCCTGCTTCTGCCTGGCCAAGGTACGTCTCTACCGGTACTAGCAGAACCCGACCATGCTGTGCCTTAGTTCCTCTACCAGACCATTGCAGGGGAACGGGTTCCAGTTGCCCGGATCCCTGTCCACTTCACTCCAACCTACCATGACCCAGATGGTTCCCTGTGAGGGAAATCCAGGACATGGGCCTCGCCCCCACAGCTGAACTTACCTCTAGCCCACCGACCGGTTCTGTTCTGCCTGCAGATCGCCAACGCCATGGTGAGCACATGGCAGGGTCCACCAGCCATGAAGTCTCTGTTCACCAGAATGTTCTGCTGTAAGAGCTGCCCCAACATCGTCAGAACCAACAACTTCATCAACTTCCAGAGCTACTTCCTGCAGAAGGTACAGACGGTGGTTCTGTTCATGCCCAACCCATCAGAACTCGGCCGGTTCTGCAGGCCTCCAACCAGCTGTGCTCTTTGTGTTGTTGGTTTCAGACCATGCCGGTTGCCATGGCATTACTCAGGGACGTGCAGAACCTGTGTCCTAAAGACGTTCTCAACTTCATCCTGGATCTCATCAAGTATAACGACAACCGGAAGAACAAGGTAGGCAGACTGGTCAGAACCGGGCCTTTTCTGGTTCTGATGCCCGTCTGGGTCAGCCAGAACCTCCTGACCTCTCCTCCACCTTGTGTCCAGTTCTCAGACAACTACTACCGGGCCGAGCTGATCGAGGCGCTGACCAACGCACTGACTCCGGCCATCAGCATCAACAACGAGGTCCGGACCGTGGAGAACCTGAACCCGGACGTCCGCCTCATCCTGGAGGAGATCACCCGCTTCCTGAACATGGAGAAGCTGCTGCCCAGCTTCAGGAACACCATCACTGTGAGGTAGGGAGCAGACGGGGCCCTCTGCTTCTCTGAGTAGACCAGTAGAACCAGTAAAGCTGATTGTTGTGTCCCCAGCTGCCTGAAGGCCATCCGTCAGCTGCAGAAGAACGGTCACATTCCCAGCGACCCGTCCCTCTTCAGGGCCTACGCTGAGTACGGACACTTCGTAGACGTCCGTCTTTCTGCGCTGGAGGCTCTAGTGGACTACACCACGGGTAGGAAGTGGTTCCGGTTCCCAGGGTGGTTGTAGAACCTTTCTGTTCAGATCTCAGGCAGGCGAGGTGTTTGAAGAACAACTGTATTCAATGGAGGCCGAGGATCCGGCTCCTGGCTGCGGATCCGGCTCCTGGCCGCGGACCTGGCTCCTGGCCGTGGATCAGGCTCCTGGCTGCCGACCCGGCTCCTGGCCGCGGACCCGGCTCCTGGCTGCCGACCCGGCTCCTGGGTCCGCAACACCAGGGTTCAGGTGTTGTGGTGGTTCTTCCTGCTGTGTCTCAGTGATCTGCTGTGTTCTCTGTCTGCAGTTGAGAGGAGCTCCACAGACCTGCAGTGGCTGCTGGACCTGGTCCAAAGCGACCCAGTTCACTACGTCAGGTCAGCCTTGTTCTGTTCAGCTTTTTGGTCCCAGTAGAATCCTGAGGTTCTGATCCGATCCTGCTGTGTTCTTCTCCCTGTAGACACAAGGTTCTGGGCATGCTGAGTAGGAACCCCCCCTTCACCAAGGCAGCCGACTCTGGCCTGTGCACCGAGGCTCTGGTGGATCAGCTGTGGAGGCTGATGAACTCAGGTGAGGAGCAGCAGCCCTGAGAGGAACCACAACCAGGGGCCCCTGGGGGGGTGGCGGGGCCCATGATAGAAGTGTGGAAGCTGATGGTTTCAGGGACTAATGACAGCAGATCTCCCCTCTGATTGGTTAGTCCTGCTGCAGGGTTCAGTCCAGGGACCTTCTTGGTTCCCCTAGTCTCCTACGGGGCCTCCTATCTGCTGGTCGTCCTCCATGTTCTTCCCCCATTGTCTCCTCAGGTTTCAGTGTTTCTTTTCTTCCCGGGGGGTCGGCTGCTCCTCCAGCTTGCTAACGCGGCCATCCAGCAGCGCCAAGGTTCCTGTCCAGAATCATAAATTTGTTCACAGCTTCAGTTTCCTTCCAGGCCTGAGGTCTAGGGGCCAGCTGTGGTTTCCAAGTGGAGGAGGAGGAGGGTCCCGGTTGTTAGCGGCGGACCGGTGGGCGGCCCGGCTGCTGCCAGCTTAAATATTGTGGTTAGCTTAAACAGTGCGTAATGAGAGCTGGCCCCGCTGTTAACACACGCTCACAGGATGATGTTTTCCCGCTGAAGGTCGGCCCCGTACGCTTGGAGCTGCTGATTTATTGCCACCCTCTGGTGCCGCAGAGGGCCCTTTATCCAGCTCTGCATTGTCTCTGTGGTCAGGATGGGGAGCCATCGGTTCTGGGGGGCCCGGTCGGACCCCCGGTGCCAGAAAGCCCGGCACCAGTGGTCAGAGGTCAGACATTACATCACAATAATTCTGGGATATAATCACAATATTTTAAAAGGACCTTCAGAATCAACAGGGTGCATAAAATAAACTCATTTAAACTTTAAACCTTTTATTTGAACCAGATCAAAGCTTTTCTGCCTCATTCTGTCTTTGGGTGTCAGAATTAGACCTTTAACAAGATCCCAGGAACCAAACGGGAAACCAAAACACACAATAATAAATAAAAAGGCTCTTTTGTGCTTAATTAAAAAAAGTAATTGACCTCAAATTAGAAAAACTAAAGTGGAAATAGCTTCCAAATATCAGAGCATCTATTAGCGTTGATCTTTATTATAAAAAGTAGTAAAGTTGAGAACATTGCCAAGTTTAGCAAACGCCTGTAAAACCTCTGAACCATCATCCGGGCTGTTAGAGCATCGAATAAACCTTGAAATTAGCTTGTAAACTGCGTCTGAGATTTCCCTCAATGTCTTCCTGTTTCTCTTATATGGGATCGCTTCACATCGGCTTCACCGCTGATTGATTGATCGTTTTAATTGATGCGGGGAGATGCTGACATGCAGAATTTACAACATTCTTCAGCAGTGGGCTGCCATTGTGCGGCGCCCAGGGAGCAGAGTGGGGTTAAGGGTCTTTGCTCAGGGACCCAGAGTGGCAGTCTGTGGGGGTGGGGCTTGAACTCAGAACCTCCAGGACTGCAGTGCAGTGCTCTAACATATAGACTAAACATAATTTCATGTCTAGGTTTGATTGTGTACATAAATCTTGCCCTTCTGAGGCTGTAAAGTTTCCAACTATTTTATGTGAATGTTTGAGAATGACAGTCTTAGCTGTCTTTATCCATGCTGGCTCAGCGACAGTTGGGGAGAGTTTAGTTCTGTAGAAACAGGTGTAGACGGCGTTCTTCTACAGGGACAGGTGTGGACAGCGTTGGTATATAGAGACAGGTGTGGACAGTGCTGGTCTGCAGGGACAGGTGTGGACGGCGTTGGTATATAGAGACAGGTGTGGACAGTGCTGGTCTGCAGGGACAGGTGTGGACGGCGTTTGTCTCCAGGGACAGGTGTGGACAGCGTTGGTATATAGAGACAGGTGTGGACAGTGCTGGTCTGCAGGGACAGGTGTGGACGGCGTTTGTCTCCAGGGACAGGTGTGGACGGCGTTTGTCTCCAGGGACAGGTGTGGACGGCGTTGGTCTCCAGGGACAGGTGTGGACAGCGTTATTCTACAGGGACAGATGTAGACAGTGTTGATATTTAGAGACAGGTATGGACTGTATTTGTCTGCAGGGACAGGTGTGGACAGCATTGGTATGTAGAGAAAGGTGTGGACAGCATTGGTATGTAGAGACAGGTGTGGACAGCATTGGTATGTAGAGACAGGTGTGGACAGCATTGGTATGTAGAGACAGGTGTGGACAGCGTTGGTCTCCAGGGACAGGTGTGGACAGTGTTGGTATGTAGGGACAGGTGTGGACAGCATTGGTATGTAGAGACAGGTGTGGACAGCATTGGTATGTAGAGACAGGTGTGGACAGCGTTGGTCTCCAGGGACAGGTGTGGACAGTGTTGGTATGTAGGGACAGCTGTGGACAGTAACTCTGCAGGGACAGGTGTGGACAGCGTTGGTATGTAGAGACAAGTGTGAACAGTGTTGGTCTGAAGGGACGGGTGTGGACAGTATGTCTGTAGCGACAGCTGTGGACAGACTAACTCTGCAGGGACAGGTGTGCACAGTGTTGGTATGCAGGGACAGGTGTAGACAGTGGTATGTAGAGACAGGTGTGGACAGCGTTGGTATGTAAAGACAGGTGTGGACAGCGTAGGAATTTAGAGACGGGTATGGACAGCGTTATTCTACAGGGACAGATGTAGACAGTGTTGATATTTAGGTACAGGTGTGGACTGTGTTGGTATGTAGAGACAGGTGTGGACAGTGTTGGTCTGCAGGGACAGGTGTGGACAGTGTTGGTCTGCAGGGACAGGTGTGGACAGTGTTGGTCTGAAGGGACGGGTGTGGACAGTATGTCTGTAGCGACAGCTGTGGACAGACTAACTCTGCAGGGACAGGTGTGCACAGTGTTGGTATGCAGGGACAGGTGTAGACAGTGGTATGTAGAGACAGGTGTGGACAGCGTTGGTATGTAAAGACAGGTGTGGACAGCGTAGGAATTTAGAGACGGGTATGGACAGCGTTATTCTACAGGGACAGATGTAGACAGTGTTGATATTTAGGTACAGGTGTGGACTGTGTTGGTATGTAGAGACAGGTGTGGACAGTGTTGGTCTGCAGGGACAGGTGTGGACAGTGTTGGTATGTAGAGACAGGTGTGGACAGTGTTGGTCTGCAGGGACAGGTGTGGACAGTGTTGGTATGTAGAGACAGGTGTGGACAGCGTTGGTCTGTAGTGACAGGTGTGGACAGTGTTGGTCTGCAGGGACAGGTGTGGACAGTGTTGGTCTGCAGGGACAGGTGTGGACAGTGTTGGTCTGCAGGGACAGGTGTGGACAGTGTTGGTATGTAGAGACAGGTGTGGACAGTGTTGGTCTGCAGGGACAGGTGTGGACAGTGTTGGTATGTAGAGACAGGTGTGGACAGTGTTGGTCTGCAGGGACAGGTGTGGACAGTGTTGGTCTGCAGGGACAGGTGTGGACAGTGTTGGTCTGCAGGGACAGGTGTGGACAGTGTTGGTATGTAGAGACAGGTGTGGACAGTGTTGGTCTGCAGGGACAGGTGTGGACAGCATTGGTATGTAAAGACAGGTGTGGACAGCGTAGGAATTTAGAGACGGGTATGGACAGCGTTATTCTACAGGGACAGATGTAGACAGTGTTGATATTTAGGTACAGGTGTGGACTGTGTTGGTATGTAGAGACAGGTGTGGACAGCGTTGGTCTGTAGTGACAGGTGTGGACAGCGTTGGTCTGTAGTGACAGGTGTGGACAGTGTTGGTCTGCAGGGACAGGTGTGGACAGTGTTGGTCTGAAGGGACGGGTGTGGACAGTATGTCTGTAGCGACAGCTGTGGACAGACTAACTCTGCAGGGACAGGTGTGCACAGTGTTGGTATGCAGGGACAGGTGTAGACAGTGGTATGTAGAGACAGGTGTGGACAGCGTTGGTATGTAAAGACAGGTGTGGACAGCGTAGGTATTTAGAGACGGGTATGGACAGCGTTATTCTACAGGGACAGATGTAGACAGTGTTGATATTTAGGTACAGGTGTGGACTGTGTTGGTATGTAGAGACAGGTGTGGACAGTGTTGGTCTGCAGGGACAGGTGTGGACAGTGTTGGTATGTAGAGACAGGTGTGGACAGTGTTGGTCTGCAGGGACAGGTGTGGACAGTGTTGGTATGTAGAGACAGGTGTGGACAGCGTTGGTCTGTAGTGACAGGTGTGGACAGTGTTGGTCTGCAGGGACAGGTGTGGACAGTGTTGGTCTGCAGGGACAGGTGTGGACAGTGTTGGTCTGCAGGGACAGGTGTGGACAGTGTTGGTATGTAGAGACAGGTGTGGACAGCGTTGGTCTGTAGTGACAGGTGTGGACAGTGTTGGTCTGCAGGGACAGGTGTGGACAGTGTTGGTCTGCAGGGACAGGTGTGGACAGTGTTGGTATGTAGAGACAGGTGTGGACAGCGTTGGTCTGTAGTGACAGGTGTGGACAGTGTTGGTCTGCAGGGACAGGTGTGGACAGTGTTGGTCTGCAGGGACAGGTGTGGACAGTGTTGGTATGTAGAGACAGCTGTGGACAGCGTTGGTCTGCAGGGACAGGTGTTTATTGATATGGAGCTTCTGCCAGAACCAACGGCTCAAAGCTCCTCTAGATAAACCGGGTCGGTTCCTCCTCTTCCTCAGGTAGATAAACCGGGTCGGTTCCTCCTCTTCCTCAGGTAGATAAACCGGGTCGGTTCCTCCTCTTCCTCAGGTAGATAAACCGGGTCGGTTCCTCCTCTTCCTCAGGTACCGCCCATGAGTGGCGCCTGCGCTGCGACGCCGTTAACCTCTACTACACGCTGTTCGGACTCACCCGGCCATCCTGCCTTCCGCTGCCAGAGCTGGGCCTGGTCCTCAACCTAAAGGAGAAGAAGGCTGTCCTCAACCCCACCATTAAGCCTGAGCAGGGCACCAGCGTCGCCATGGAGACGCCTGCCAGTATAGGCGTCCACGGCGTGGGGATGAGCTACTCTGCGGTGAGTTGTTGGTTCATCAGAACCAGAACCTTCCTGCTACATCATGGTGTCATTAGAAGCATAAAGACCTGCAGATGATACAGCTGTTTGTTTCTGTCAGGTGGACGAAGAGCCCGATCCCGTCTCTCTGGGGGTGTGCGGTGTGGGCCAGCCCCCCCAGGGCCTCAAGAGGAAGGCTGAGACCCCCTTGGGTTCCCCCCCGGAACCGGGACAGATCCTGCAGCACACGGACGACGATGGGAGACCGGGACGCTACAAGATCAGGGTGAGAGGCGCCCTACATCTCCCCCACTGCTGCCTGGTCGGGTCAGAACCCCGGACAGCTCCAGAACCTCCCTGGGTTACAGAAAATGGAAGTGGACGGGTCAGAACCCTGGACATGGTGGTCCTCAGTATCCAGTTATCCATGTCAGTTAGAGCCCCGTCAAGTGCCAATTGCACTACCCTAGTATTAGAAGTACCCTAGTATTAGTAGCAGTACTCTAGTATTAGTAGCAGTACTCTAGTAATAGTAGCAGTACTCTAGTAGTAGTACTCTAGTGGCAGTAGTACTCTAGTATTGTCCATAATACTTAGTAGTGGTAGTACTCTAGTAGTAGCAGCAGTAATCTAGTAGCAGTATTCTTCCAGTAATAGTACTCTAGTAGTAGTATTACTCCAGTGGTAGCAGTAGTACTCTAGTAATAGCGGTAGTACTCTATTAGCAATGGCAGTAGTAGTAGTAGTAATAGTATTACTCTACTAGTAATAGTACTCCAGTAGTAGTAGTAGTAGTAGTAATAGCAGTAGTGCTCTAGTAGTAGTAGCACTAGTAGTAGTAGTACTCAAGTAGCAGTATTACTGTAGTAGTACTATATTATTAGTAGTACTGTAGTTGCAGCATTAGTAGTAGTAGTAGTAGTAGTATTTTAGCAGTAGTATTGTAGCAGTAGTAGTACTCCAGAAGCTGTAGTAGTAGCACTGTAGTAGCAGTTGTACTCCAGTAGTAGCTGTAGTAGCAGTAGTAGTGCTGACCCCTCCATCAACCTGCGGCTCCAGTTTAACAGTAGTAGCAGCAGTAGTAGTAGTGATAGTACTCCAGAAGTAGTATTAGTGCTGTAGTAATAGTAGTAGTAGTGCTACAGTAGCTGTAGTAGCAGTAGTAGTAATAGAACTCCAGAAGTAGTACTAGTGCTGTAGTAGCAGTAGTAGCGCTGCAGTAGCTGCTGTAATAGTAGCGCCGTAGTAGCTGTTGTAATATTAGTGCTGTAGTAGCAGTAGTGCTACTGTAGTAGCAGTAGTAGTGCTGTAGTAGCAGTAGTAGTGCTGTAGTACTACTGTAGTAGCAGTAGTAGTGCTGTAGTACTACTGTAGTAGCAGTAGTACTACTGTAGTAGCAGTAGTGCTACTGTAGTAGCAGTAGTAGTACTGTAGTAGCAGTAGTAGTGCTGTAGTACTACTGTAGTAGCAGTAGTAGTGCTGTAGTACTACTGTAGTAGCAGTAGTACTACTGTAGTAGCAGTAGTAGTACTGTAGTAGCAGTAGTAGTGCTGTAGTACTACTGTAGTAGCAGTAGTAGTGCTGTAGTACTACTGTAGTAGCAGTAGTAGTGCTGTAGTACTACTGTAGTAGCAGTAGTAGTGCTGTAGTACTACTGTAGTAGTGCTGTAGTACTACTGTAGTAGCAGTAGTAGTGCTGTAGTACTACTGTAGTAGCAGTAGTAGTGCTGTAGTACTACTGTAGTAGTGCTGTAGTACTACTGTAGTAGCAGTAGTAGTGCTGTAGTACTACTGTAGTAGCAGTAGTAGTGCGGACCACTCCATTAACCCGCGGCACGTCTGTCTTCCAGTTTAACCCCATGGAGGACGAAGACATCGACATGGAGACGGTTCACGACAGCCAGGCCTTCATCCACCATCACCTCAACCTGCTGGAGCGCCCGTCCACGCCAGGTAGGCTCCGCCCCCTTTCCGGCCACGCCAGCCTGCGGGTCGCTCCGCTCACCGTCCCTCTGTTTTCAGGTAAGGAGCCCCCGCTGGCGGAGCAGACCCTGCCGTCCATGTCGGCCGCACCTGTGGCCCCGTTCTCCAAGGACGCCGCCTCCCTGTCCTCCAAGCACGGAGGAGACCACGCCCACCACCACCACCATCACCACCACGAGCACAAGAAGAAGAAAAAGAAGCACAAGCACAAACACAAGCACAAGCACAAGCACGACAGCAAGGACAGGGACAGGGAGAACCCGTACGCCTTCAGCAACAGCCCCGCCAGCGGACGCTCTCTACGCTCCCCCTCGCTGTCCGACTGAACCCGCTGACATCATCGCCACGCCGCCCTCTGGAGCTCCAACAGAACCAGCCGCCGCGCCGGGCCCCCCCGTCTCCAGCTCAGGACGCCGGGCCCCTCGCAGCAATCTTCTTTGGAGCAGCAGAACCAAGGCTTGTTCCTCAGGTTGTTCCAGGGATTCCATTTTCATCCAATCACCTTCAGCAGTGGGATGGTTCAGAAGTTCTGCTTTTAGTCCGGCCCACTTTGCTCTGGTAACCTCTGCAGAAGTAGAACCGGACCCAGACTGGACTCCACAGGTTCTGGTTTCATGCTGGGTTCTGCAAGTGTTTCCTGGATCTTAGAACCAATGTCGGGTCAGAACCGAGCTTCTGCCGCCAATCAGACGCCACCCGATGGGGCCTTCAGGTATTACACCAACACAAACTAGATCCACAGAGCAGGTTCTGTTCAGATTCCGGTACTGGTCTGGGCCAGTCTGCGGTTCTGTTCAGATCCTGGTACTGGTCTGGGTCAGTCTGCGGTAACGCCTGATCAACCAACAGCCATTCAGGTTGATTGTCCCGCCCCCTTCCTCTGATTGGCTTCTCTATGTGAGCTGATTGGATACTGGAAATCCTGCTTCTAGCCTCCTGTAGCATCGGCCATGTTCTTCTGTTGGGGCTGCGGAGGACCGGGCCCCGGCCCCAAGGACTGGATGACCCAGTAGATTCTGAGCCGACTGGTGGTTATGAATAAAACTGGGTTTATGTTTTATCTTTATTTTCTATAGAAATCTGCTGTTCTGTCATTGAAACCATGAATATTGTGATCATTAAATTCTACTTTTTCATAAACGTGTCGTTCTTGTTGCTCTGGACTCCTGTAGATCCACAGTTTTCAGATCCACCCCACATCGCGGGTGGGGAGAATGGTTGAGGGTGGGGGTAACGGCGGAGGGGCTGGTGGGTGGGGGTAATGGCGGAGGGGCAGGTAGGGGTAGTGGCAGAGGGACTGGTGGGTGGTGGTAATGGCAGAGGGTCTGGCGGGTGGTGGTGGCGGAGGGGCAGGTGGGTAGAGGTAATGGCGGAGGGTCTGGCGGGTGGGGGTGGCGGAAGGGCTGGCGGGTGGGGGTAATGGCGGAGGGTCTGGCGGGTGGTGGTGGCGGAGGGGCAGGTGGGTAGAGGTAATGGCGGAGGGTCTGGCGGGTGGGGGTGGCGGAAGGGCTGGCGGGTGGGGGTAATGGCGGAGGGTCTGGTGGGTGGGGGTAGTGGCGGAGGGGCAGGTGGGTAGAGGTAATGGCGGAGGGTCTGGTGGGTGGGGGTAGTGGCAGAGGGGCTGGCGGGTGGGGGTAATGGCAGAGGGTCTGGCGGGTGGTGGTGGCGGAGGGGCAGGTGGGTAGAGGTAATGGCGGAGGGTCTGGCGGGTGGTGGTGGCGGAGGGGCAGCTGGGTAGAGGTAATGGCGGAGGGTCTGGTGGGTGGGGGTAGTGGCGGAGGGGCAGGTGGGTGGGGGTAATGGCGGGTGGTGGTGGCGGAGGGTCTGGTGGGTGGGGGTAGTGGCGGAGGGGATGCGTAAAACGTTCTAGCTTTATAAACAGCTCATACACGTTAGCATGGTGAAGCCATTTTGTTAGAATAATCCCCTTCAATGATCAGAAATCATTAAAGAAACCGATTATTTAGCCAGATTCCACCTCTGCTCTTCTCTCACCTGTGCAGCAGCTGGCAGACGTCCTTTGTTCTGAAGACTAACCCCTCAGTCGGCCTCTGAAAGTTCTGAAAACTGAGGGAAACGTTGCAACAGTTTTTTTCTTCACAGCAATCTGGTTTCGATCCATCAGGTCCACTCAAGTCTTTAGTCAGTTTGCAGCTTCTGCTCCTTAGCAGGTTGTCCTCCATGCCAAAGAGCAGGCAGTCTTCCATGCTAAACAACAGGTTGTCCTCCATGCCAAAGAGCAGGTGGTCTTCCTTGCTAAACAACAGGCAGTCTTCCATGCCAAAGAGCAGGCAGTCTTCCATGCTAAACAACAGGTTGTCCTCCATGCCAAAGAGCAGGCAGTCTTCCATGCTAAACAACAGGTTGTCCTCCATGCCAAAGAGCAGGTGGTCTTCCATACTAAACAACAGGTTGTCCTCCATGCCAAAGAGCAGGCAGTCTTCCACGGCTAAAAGCAGGCAGTCTTCCATGCTAAACAACAGGTTGTCCTCGATGCCAAAGGCAGGCTGTCTTCCATGCCAAAGAGCAGGCAGTCTTCCATGCTACACAACAGGTTGTCCTCCATACCAAAGAGCAGGCAGTCTTCCATGCTAAATAACAGGTTGTCCTCCATGCCAAAGAGCAGACAGTCTTCAACGCCAAAGAGCAGGCTGTCTTCCATGCTACACAACAGGTTGTCCTCCATGCCAAAGAGCAGGCTGTCTTCCATGCCAAAGAGCAGGCAGTCTTCCACGCCAAAGAGCAGGCAGTCTTCCATGCTAAAGAGCAGGCAGTCTTCCATGCTACACAACAGGTTGTCCTCCATGCCAAAGAGCAGGCTGTCTTCCATGCCAAAGAGCAGGCAGTCTTCCATGCTAAAGAGCAGGCAGTCTTCCATGCTACACAACAGGTTGTCCTCCATGCCAAAGAGCAGGCTGTCTTCCACGCCAAAGAGCAGGCAGTCTTCCATGCCAAAGAGCAGACAATCTTCCACGCCAAAGAGCAGGCAGTCTTCCACGCCAAAGAGCAGGCAGTCTTCCATGCTACACAACAGGTTGTCCTCCATGCCAAAGAGCAGGTGGTCTTCCATACTAAACAACAGGTTGTCCTCCATGCCAAAGAGCAGGCAGTCTTCCACGCCTAAAAGCAGGCAGTCTTCCATGCTAAACAACAGGTTGTCCTCGATGCCAAAGGCAGTGTCTTCCATGCCAAAGAGCAGGCAGTCTTCCATGCTACACAACAGGTTGTCCTCCATGCCAAAGAGCAGGCAGTCTTCCATGCTACACAACAGGTTGTCCTCCATGCCAAAGAGCAGGCAGTCTTCCATGCTACGCAACAGGTTGTCCTCCATGCCAAAGAGCAGGCAGTCTTCCATGCTAAACAACAGGTTGTCCTCCATGCCAAAGAGCAGACAGTCTTCAACGCCAAAGAGCAGGCTGTCTTCCATGCTACACAACAGGTTGTCTTCCATGCCAAAGAGCAGGCAGTCTTCCACGCCAAAGAGCAGGCAGTCTTCCACGCCAAAGAGCAGGCAGTCTTCCACGCCAAAGAGCAGGTAGTCTTCCATGCTACACAACAGGTTGTCCTCCATGCCAAAGAGCAGGTGGTCTTCCTTGCTAAACAACAGGCAGTCTTCCATGCCAAAGAGCAGGCAGTCTTCCATGCTAAACAATAGGTTGTCCTCCATGCCAAAGAGCAGACAGTCTTCAACGCCAAAGAGCATGCAGTCTTCCATGCTACGCAACAGGTTGTCCTCCATGCCAAAGAGCAGGCAGTCTTCCACGCCCTTCCATGCTAAAGAGCAGGCAGTCTTCCACGCCAAAGAGCAGGCAGTCTTCCATGCTACGCAACAGGTTGTCCTCCATGCCAAAGAGCAGGCAGTCTTCCATGCTACGCAACAGGTTGTCCTCCATGCCAAAGAGCAGGCAGTCTTCCATGCTAAACAACAGGTTGTCCTCCATGCCAAAGAGCAGACAGTCTTCAACGCCAAAGAGCAGGCTGTCTTCCATGCTACACAACAGGTTGTCCTCCGTGCCAAAGAGCAGGCTGTCTTCCATGCTAAACAACAGGTTGTCCTCCACGCCAAAGAGCAGGCTGTCTTCCATGCTAAACAACAGGTTGTCCTCCACGCCAAAGAGCAGACAGTCTTCAATGCCAAAGAGCAGGCAGTCTTCCATGCTACGCAACAGGTTGTCCTCCATGCCAAAGAGCAGGCTGTCTTCCATGCTAAAAGGCAGGCAGTCTTCCATTCCAAAGAGCAGGCAGTCTTCCACGCCCTTCCATGCTAAAGAGCAGGCAGTCTTCCACGCCAAAGAGCAGGCAGTCTTCCATGCTACGCACCAGGTTGTCCTCCATGCCAAAGAGCAGGCAGTCTTCCATGCTACGCAACAGGTTGTCCTCCATGCCAAAGAGCAGGCAGTCTTCCATGCTAAACAACAGGTTGTCCTCCATGCCAAAGAGCAGGCAGTCTTCCATGCTAAACAACAGGTTGTCCTCCATGCCAAAGAGCAGGCAGTCTTCCATGCTAAACAACAGGTTGTTCTCCATGCCAAAGAGCAGGCAGTCTTCCATGCTAAACAACAGGTTGTCCTCCATGCCAAAGAGCAGACAGTCTTCAACGCCAAAGAGCAGGCTGTCTTCCATGCTACACAACAGGTTGTCCTCCACGCCAAAGAGCAGGCAGTCTTCCATTCCAAAGAGCAGGCAGTCTTCCATGCCCTTCCACGTCAAAGAGCAGGCAGTCTTGTTTGAACATATCTGTCACCCTCACCATATCCAGGCCAATCAGCTCCCTCTCTGCTCTGGGCCTTCATATCTTCTGCTGTAACCTGGCTATTTTTTTCTACAGATCATGAAGCACAAAACCATTTTCTTCCCAGATGGAGAGGTCTTTCCTCAGGGCATGACTATTGTTGCCATCCTGGTCTTCCTTTTTATCGGCTCCAACAGTCATTCATAAACTGCAGTTACTTCACTTTGATTCTGCTGATTAGTGGATTTTATTGCAGCGTCTGGAAAACTGGGTCTTCCTTTTGGTTCAGTACTGGATTGGTTTATCTCTTACCTGACAGCAGACACCCTGTCTACTTTTAAGGCTAGGCTTAAAACTTTCCTTTCTGATAAAGCTTCTAGTTAGAGAGGCTCAGGTTATCCTGAGCTATCTCTATAGTTCTGCTGCTATAGGCTTAGACTGCTGGAGGACATAGGGACCCCTTTTTCATCATTCTGCTTCATTCTATCTCTATTCTCCCACTCTGCAGAATCTGTTAGTTCAATCTCTAACGTTCTGCTCTCTCTGCTTTTTCTCATAGTAGCTTCATCTGGTCTGTTCCTGTTTGGCTGTGACTCCATCCTGGAGAGAAATATCAGCTGTGCTGCTGCCATCAACACCTTTGTTTCTAGATGTTGGAGCTTGGCCTGTTTTCCAGTGTAGTCCTGTTTCTCTGACTGTGACTAACTGGATGTGCTCTCTTCATCCTCTGACATGGGAGCTGGCTCGGAGCTCGTCTGCCTGGCTGTGTGTTTCCTGGACGGGGCCGCCTGTGGAGCTGGTTGCCAGTTGCCTTTTGTATCTATGCTTCTTTTTCTATGTCTGCTTTGCTGAAAGGAGTTTTTAAGTCTTTGGGTGATTATGTCTCGAGGGTCAATATGACCAGAGCAGGTGATCTATTCTAGCCATCGAGTTCTGGTGCTCTGCACCTTTAATGTGTGTTTCTGGGTTTAGGTGGTTAAATGTCTGACATCTCTATGTATTTCCAGTCAGCTTTTCCACAGACCTGCTTATTGGTCTGAGGTGTTTGGAAGCAGAAACACGGGTAACGGGGGCGGGAACTGGGGAATCCTTTATTGGTTCTGGGGGGGTCATTGATTTTCTTGCTGTTTCAGGTTTCTTCCTAACAGGAACCCTTTTTCCCTTTAGAACTGTGTATTGTTTTATTTATCATGTGTTTGTTTAAAGGTGGAAATGGTGAGAGGCATTTTTCTAAGCTGGCCAGAATGGAAGAAATTTCAGGGTTCAGATGAGACCAAAACCTAAATCCCAGCATGACCCCAGAACCATATCCCATTAGTAAAGCAGTGGCTGCATTATGCTGTGAGTATCAGAATGTCAGAGATGATGGATGGAGCTTTTCACCTTCTGACTAGAAACACACTGGAGGGTTTCTGAGCCAAAAACATCCATTTTAAAGATACAAATAAAAAATAGAAAAGTAAATAAGATGTCGTAGTAACTTCTAGATGTTTGTTTTCATATAGTTGTGGATGTTGATGGTGTCAGCAGGAAGGTGAAGATGATGCTCACTGCCTTCCATCATCTTCATCACCAGAGGTTCTAGAGGAACAGAGCCGACCTTCTTTATTAGCTGGTTGAGCTTCTTTCAGTCATTAGCTCTGATGATGATGATGATGGAGGAAGAGGTCAGACTCTCCACAGCAGACTGACAGCAGATCTGCAGCATCTGAAGGACCTGAGCAAATATTGATGGTAAATATCTGCCAATCTGTTGCCAACAGTTTAAAATGATAATAAAACATCATTTCCAAGCTAGTTAAAGTAAAAATAAAAAAATCAATATTCTTTATAAAAAATGAAGCTTCTGCTCGTTATTATAGAGTTAGTTGTTTTAGATCTGTTGTAGGCTAATGTAGGCCAGTCTGAACGACCATTGATCCCCATCAGGACAGAAAGCAGCTTCTACATCTAAACTCATCAGATCTTCAATTCTCTGCTTCTTTGTAAGAAAATGTGAGAACCCTTCCTGGAACCAGGGGCCTCTATAATAACGCATGTGGAGCAACTGTATCGGCCCCCAGGCGGGGGGCTCTGTGGTGCGCTCCTCCAGCCCCTCCCCCTGCCCCTCCTTCCTGGTGGTCCTGTGCTCCAGAAGTCCCTCCGACCCTCAGCTGCTGTCAGACCAACGGAGCCATGCTGCTGCTGAAGCTGGTACGGTGAGATCCATGACATGGCCGCCGCCGTGGCGCTCAGTCTGTGTGTCTGTCTGTCTGCGTAAAGACAGACTGTCCAGCCATGGACGTGTGTCTGTTCCACGCTGGCTGCCTGCATGCGGGTGGTCCCCTCCTGCTGCTGCAGCAGTCAGCTTGTTTTCACTGCAGATGGAAGTGAAAGTGTTCTGATGAAGTGAGCTCTAACCCGGTGCTGTTCCCCCAGTGCGGCTGGATCCTGGCCCCCCTGTGGGGCTCTCACCTGTGTTGGGCTTTTGTCTTTGGGCGACCCAAGCGTTCAGGAGAAGATGGGACTGCAGCCAGGGCAGAGGGTGAGTACATGAAGATGTGAGCTCAATGTGGCGTCTGTGCCTGCAGCAGAGTTAATGGGTAGCATGTGTCCCATTCGGGGGGGGGGGGGGGGGGTACGTCAGCGTGGATTTAGACTGTAATTGTGAAACCGCCTCAGCTGAAAGAAAACTTTACTGTTTCTGATTAAATATAGAATTAGAGCTGCACTGGATCTAAATTTTGTTCATCCTGGGACTGGTGTCACTGTGGTTCCATGGTGGGGGGGGGGGGGGGGGGGGGGGGGTCTGCACACAGGAGGCAACCAGAAGAAGCCCAACATGTCAGAATGACTAAAGGAGGCACCAGCTGCACCTTTTCAGAAACACCATCCTGTTGCTCCACCTGCACCATCAGGCAGGTCACTTAGTGAGACAAGAGTGAACGGCATCATGGGTGGAGTCACTGTGGGTGGAGGTCTGCACATGTTCCATGCTTCCTATCCTTCAGCAGAGGACTAGAGTCACAGGACTGTTGGTCCTCACCTCCACATGGGAAGGGTTAATGACGGAGACTCCTTTTCTAAAGCCTTTAGTTCCACTTTAATCAGGCTGAATGCTGATCTAGCTCTAGGAATCTATGTCCCAGAGCTAGATATTAGCCCAATGCTTCCAAAGGCAAACCATTCTGGTTGTTGCTATAAGGCTGTGATGGTAATTATGAACAAAATGGAACTCAATGGAGACAGAAAAGTAGAGGAGAAAAGAGAAAAAAAACAGAAACTATGCAGTAACTTCTAGAAATCTGCTTCCAAACCTGCATGAGACGAGAGGAACAGAAAAACAGCAAACAGAAAATAAAAGACGATCAAAGAAAACGTGAAAAAGCTTCCAGAGCAGCAGGTAGATCGATTTCCATGAGACTAGAAGGAAACCCTGTGGTGACTAAACTCTGTAATTAATGGTGGTTTATATCTGTGGTGATTAAACTATTATTCAGGGTGGTTTATATCTATAGCTGCGGCTTCGTGTTTAGCATCAGTGTGAATGTTGTGCAAAATGATATCCTGCAGATAGTGAATAAATTATTATCTAGAAGTGGAGTTATAGTTAATTATTTAAAGGAATAGTACACCCAAAACATGATTAGCCTTCATTTTCTACTCACCCCCATGCTGAACAACACTCTGGAGTACTTTTTTGATATCTCAAATGCATCTGGAGATCTGGGAGGCTTCTTGCTGTCTGCTGACATTCAAATAATGGAGGTCTATGGCGCCCGAGGCAGAAAGGTCCATAAAAGTCCACAAAAAACGTGTCAATATTCCTCCATACTGCTCGTCCAATGTATTCCAAGTGTCCTGAGTGGGTAGCATCCAGAATTTACTCGAAACGAAGTCATTTAGAATGTTTTAGAGCATAAACAGTAGTGTATAGGATTTCCTAATAGCGCGTTCACGAGTCTACGGAAACCGCAGCAGACCAAACCAGATGAAAGTGCGCATTCAGCTCGGCAAAGAACTCATGCTCTTCCTCAACACTGAAGTCCTCAGACATTTTTCTTTCGTTGTTTCTTTCTTTGCACAGGTAAACAGCACATTTCTTCTTCTACGCTTGCATTATCGGCAGAGCAGACGCTGAATGCGCACTTTCATCTGGTTTGGTCTGCCGGCTTCCGTAGCGTCGTGAATGCGCAGGAAATCCTATACACTACTGTTTATGCTCTAAAAACCTTCTAAATGACTTTGTTTCGAGTAAATTCTGGATGCTACCCACTCAGGACACTTGGAATACATTGGACGAGCAGTATGGAGGCATATTGACACGTTTTTTGTGGACTTTTATGGACCTTTCTGGCTCGGGCGCCATAGACCTCCATTATTTGAATGTCAGCAGACAGCAAGAAGCCTCCCAGATCTCCAGATGCATTTGAGATATCAAAAAAGTACTCCAGAGTGTTGTTCAGCATGGGGGTGAGTAGAAAATGAAGGCTAATTATGTTTTGGGTGTACTATTCCTTTAACTTATTCAAAAATGAAGGTGAAATCAATTTAGTGTTTCTATTGTATTATTGTAGCTCTAATTTGCTCATCTACCAGGCTTTATGCCTTTCACCTCTGGATGGTTCCTGATCAAATCCAGGTATCCACACCAATTTAGTGACCCAGGCTAGGTTAATAGCAGAGCTATTAATTATCAATCAAAGACTATTTTTCTCTGTTTATTCACACTGTTACCAAAAGGGGATGGATCTGGCCTGAGTGATAAACCATCCGTATATGAATCACAAACAACTGCAAGTTAAACAATGACGTCTTTATTCTAATAATTCAGGATTACAGAAATTTAACGTCTAAGCAAACACGCTGTTAGAAAATAAACGCCAGGTAGACTAAGTGATTAATTTTGAAAGAAAAAGAATCAAACCCTAAGAGTCCGTTTAACTGGCTTGAGATTGTCCAAGATAGGCCAGATGTTAATACATTCAATAATGTCCGTTAGAACAGCAGCAGGTATGATGAGAACAGTTCAATTAAAACAACATGAATACATTCAGCTTAAATGATAAATGGTTAAAATGCATTAACAGCAGCAGCAGAAGTTTGTTTAGCAAAGCAGCAGCAGGGCTGTGTGTGTGTGTGTGTGTGTGTGTGTGTGTGTGTGTGTGTGTGTGTGTGACCCCCCTTTTCAAATGATGAAAGGGGGGAGGAGGGGGGGCAGCTTGGAACAACGCGTCCTCAACCACATGACCACACGCGGTTAAATGTGAGCAAATTCTCTATAAACTAACCTTAAAGCAGAAAAAGAAGGAAAGCAGGATCACTTGCAGCTTTTCACTGGACACTTATTTCAACCTTTAAACCAGAGTTCTTATAACCGGCACAGATTAAACATGAGCGTTAATTCAAGTTTCTCCTATCTACCTGTCTCTCGCAGGAGGTCCGTCTCACCAGGGGGTCCGTTAGCTATCAAAGCAGGAGCGTCCTCCTGCAGATAGGCCGTGATTTCTGTAGCGAGGTCCTCACAAAAGCTGGAAGCTCCACACAGCGTTCAGCTTCGGAGATTCCCGTCTCACCTAGCTCAGCGGGCGCTATGCACGATGGGTCATTGCGATTGCGTGACTTTTGATGCAGGAAAACGAAAGCTACTTCCAGCTAGCTTTCTTTAGCATTTCACGTGAAACGGGCCTCTCCCTGCGGGTGTTAAAACCCAGGGCACAGAGAGAGATTGATCTCACGCTCTGAGTTTTAAACGCTGAATGACGTAGGGGTATTTCCTGCTGGGGTTCAGGCGTTCTCGTCAGCTGATTGGTTGATTTGAAATGGTTTCTCAAATTGATTTGGCTCCATTGTGGCAATATAGCCAAACACCTGGAACCAAACTCTCAAAACTGTGCTATGGATGCTTGGACATGCTTTTGAGAAAGAAAGTGTGTTTATTAGCAGGTGTGGGCGGCCCCAGACTTACCCTACAGGGGCCCAGATATCCAGAGCAACCACAGATCATTGGGACACAAGCAGCGCGGACACAGGCATGGCTGCATCCACTAAAGAAGCTAACCAGTGATGGAGCTAACCAGTAAAGGAGCTAACCAGCGATGGAGCTAACGAGTGATGGAGCTAACCAGTGATGGAGCTAACCAGCGCTGGAGCTAATCAGCGCTGGAGCTAACCAGTGATGGAGCTAACCAGTGATGGAGCTAACCAGTAAAGGAGCTAACCAGCGATGGAGCTAACCAGTAAAGGAGCTAACCAGCAATGGAGCTAACCAGTAGAGGAGCTAACCAGCGATGGAGCTAACCAGTAAATGAGCTAACCAGCGATGGAGCTAACCAGTAAAGGAGCTAACCTGTGATGTAGTTAACCAGCGATGGAGCTAACCAGTAAAGGAGCTAACCAGCGATGGAGCTAACCAGCGATGGAGCTAACCAGTAAAGGAGCTAACCAGCGATGGAGCTAACCAGTGATGGAGCTAACCAGCGATGGAGCTAACCAGTAAAGGTGCTAACCAGTGATGGAGCTAACCAGTAAAGGAGCTAACCAGTGATGGAGCCAACCAGCGATGGAGCTAACCAGTAAAAGTGCTAACCAGTGATGAAGCTAACCAGTGATGAAGCTAACCAGTGATGGAGCTAACCAGTAAAGGAGCTAACCAGTGAAGGAGCTAACCAGTGAAGGAGCTAACCAGTGATAGAGCTAACCAGTAAAGGAGCTAACCAGTGAAGGAGCTAACCAGTAAAGGAGCTAACCAGTGAAGGAGCTAACCAGTGATGGAGCTAACCAGTAAAGGAGCTAACCAGTGATGGAGCTAACCAGTGATGAAGCTAACAAGTGATGAAGCTAACCAGTAAAGGAGCTAACCAGTGATGGAGCTAACCAGTGATGAAGCTAACCAGTGAAGGAGCTAACCAGTGAAGGAGCTAACCAGTGATGAAGCTAACCAGTGATGGAGCTAACCAGTAAAGGAGCTAACCAGTGAAGGAGCTAACCAGTGATGAAGCTAACCAGTGATGGAGCTAACCAGTAAAGGAGCTAACCAGTGATGAAGCTAACCAGTGATGGAGCTAACCAGTAAAGGAGCTAACCAGTAAAGGAGCTAACCAGTGATGGAGCTAACCAGTGATGGAGCTAACCAGTAAAGGAGCTTACCAGTGAAGGATCTAACCAGTGAAGCTAACCAGTGATGGAGCTAACCAGTAAAGGAGCTAACCAGTGATGGAGCTAACCAGTGATGAAGCTAACCAGTGATGAAGCTAACCAGTGATGGAGCTAACCAGTAAAGGAGCTAACCAGTGAAGGATCTAACCAGTGAAGCTAACCAGTGATGAAGCTGTTTCACAACACTGTCAGTGGCGGATATTGAAGATGTTCGGATTTTTGGTTTTATGATACTCTGAATTCTCCTGTTTGGATGTGGAGGATACCTGATGTATCTATAATTACGGAGGATGTTGGCGGTAATTTGGGCGATGATCAGGCTGCCGGCAGCAGCTGAGGCGCTCACAAAGGCTGTGAATGAGCAAGATCGGGAGCTGAGCCGTATGCTGGGTGCGATTGAACACAGGCTGGCTGTGGTGGTTGAACTCAAAAGTGAGAATGGATAATATCTTGGATGTGCACGCTCGCTTCAAGGTGGAAAAACCCAATAAACTTGGAATATTGGATTCGCCACGTAGAGCCAGCAAGAAAAGACTCAAGACTGATGGAAAATTCCTGTGCAGCCTGCTCTCTAAACAATAAGTGTTATTTTGGATTCGGCCTCCCCCTTATCAAACCTCCCCTGGATGTTATGGCGGAAGGGCCCAGAAGAACTGCTGCCCCCTCCCCTACCTATGAACACCTGTGGATGCGTCCAGAACTGTAGCGCTAGTTGATAAACTTCCATCTTATCAAGGACAATAGCCTGTGGACGGCGTTCATGGACAGATTGAACGCACTCATACACACATAACTAATGTCTCAAATACCAGATTGACTTTCATGTGGCTCCAGCCTCCGATGCTTTCCTTCTGCTGAAATGTCTTGTATTTATATGTGCTCTTCTTGTGCTGAGTTTCTTTTTTTATTTCTTAAACTGTATCCTGTCAAGGATACATTTTGAGATATACTTTTTTCCCACCTCTCCCTCCCCAATGTGGCTCCTATGATTCCACAGAGATAAAGGCAGCGCTATAGGGAACCACCTCCAGGTTGGGGCCCTGGGCAGCCATAAGAACACGCCAAAGGCAGCGTTCTGTGGCACGCATGACAATCGTCCTTCCTACCCCCCCCCCCCCCATCCCCACCCTAATGTATGTGATGTATTGTGATGAACAGTTTTTACTAAAACTGAAATCTTGATTACAATGTAAATTGTAATCATGTCTAACTCATTGCTTACCCTTGGATAACCCATGGCTAACTTATTTCTAACTCATTGCTTACCCTTGGCTAACTCGTGGCTAACCCGTGGATAACCCATTGCTAACTCATGTCTATCCCATTGCTTACCCGTTGCTAACTCATGGCTAACCCGTGGATAACTCATGGCTAACCCGTGGATAACCCATGGCTAACTCATGTCTAACCCATTGCTTACCCGTGGCTAACTCATGGCTAACCCGTGGATAACCCATGGCTAACTCGTGTCTAACCCATTGCTTACCCATGGCTAACTTATCACTAACCCGTGGATAACCCAGAGCTAACTTATTGCTAACCCATGGCTCACTCTCTGCTAACTCATGGCTAACCCGTGGCTAACCCATGGCTAACCCATGGCTAACTCTCTGCTAACTCATGTCTAACCCATGGCTAACTCTATGCTAACTCTAATCTAACCAATGGCTAACTCTCTGTTAAATCATGGCTAACCCTTGGCTAACTCTCTGCTAACTCATGGCTAACCCATGGCTAATCTGTGGCTAACTTATGGCTAACCCATAGCTAACTCTCTGCTAACTCATGCCTAACCAATGGCTATGTCTCTGTTAACACATGTCTAACCAATGGCTAACTCTCTGTTAACTCATGGCTAATCTGTGGCTAACCCGTGGCTAATCTATGGCTAACCCATGACTAATCTGTGGCTAACCCATGGCTAATCTATGGCTAACTCATGGCTAACCCATAGCTAACTCTCTGCGAACTCATGCCTAACCAATGGCTAAGTCTCTGTTAACTCATGTCTAACCAATGGCTAACTCTCTGTTAATTCATGGCTAACCCATGGCTAATCTGTGGCTAACCCATGGCTAACCCATAGCTAACTCTCTGCGAACTCATGCCTAACCAATGGCTAAGTCTCTGTTAACTCATGTCTAACCAATGGCTAACTCTCTGTTAACTCATGGCTAACCCATGGCTAATCTGTGGCTAACCCATGGCTAATCTGTGGCTAACCCATTACTAATCTGTGGCTAACCCATGGCTAATCTGTGGCTAACTCATGGCTAACCCATAGCTAAATCTCTGCTAACTCATGCCTAACCAATGGCTAAGTCTCTGTTAGCTCATGTCTAACCAATGGCTAACTCTCTGTTAACTCATGGCTAACCCATGGCTAATCTGTGGCTAACCCATGGATAATCTGTGGCTAACCCATAGCTAACCCATGACTAATCTGTGGCTAACCCATGGCTAACCCATGGCTTATCTGTGGCTAACTCATGGCTAACCCATAGCTAACTCTCTGCTAACTCATGCCTAACCAATGGCTAAGTCTCTGTTAACTCATGTCTAACCAATGGCTAACTCTCTGTTAACTCATGGCTAACCCATGGCTAATCTGTGGCTAACCCATGGCTAATCTGTGGCTAACCCATAGCTAACCCATGACTAATCTGTGGCTAACCCATGGCTAACCCATGGCTTATCTGTGGCTAACCCATGGCTAACCCATAGCTAACTCTCTGCTAACTCATGCCTAACCAATGGCTAAGTCTCTGTTAACTCATGTCTAACCAATGGCTAACTCTCTGTTAACTCATGCCTAACCCATGGCTAATCTGTGGCTAACCCATGGCTAAGTGGACGATATTCCTCCTAACATGCACACATGTTTAAGTATTCTGAAAAACCTCAGAAGGTTCTTCCAGATGGACCTTGTTGGTTTTGGTTCCTTCAGGATGTGGTTGACCTGAGGCCACCAGAATAACCCCCCTCCTTTGTCTCTCCTTCCCTCAGCACGCTCCGGGGTCCAGTACATACCAACCTCTGGCTCCTGCAGGAACCGCTGCTTTGAGCTGCTGGAGGCGGAGCCCCCAAACTGTCGCTGTGACAACCTGTGCAGGACATACAACAGCTGCTGCTCCGACTTCAGCACCCTCTGCCTGCGGACAGGTACTGTATCTGAACATGGCAGCCCGACCCCACTCCTGGGTCCTAGTGTCCGTTAGGATGCGTCTAACATAAATGAACTGCAGGATCTCCTGACAACCTTTTGTCCATCCATCCATCCATCCATCCATATTCCTCCGCTTATCCGGGGTCGGGTCGCGGGGGCAGCAGCTTAAAAAGGGAGGCCCAGACTTCCCTCTCCCCAGCCACTTCTTCCAGCTCTTCAGGAGGAACCCCAAGGCGTTCCCAGGCCAGCCGAGAAACATAGTCTCTCCAGCGTGTCCTGGGTCTTCCCCGGGGCCTCCCCCCGGTGGGACGTGCCCGGAACACCTCACCAGGGAGGCGTCCAGGAGGCATCCTAAACAGATGCCCAAGCCACCTCAACTGGCTCCTCTCGACGTGGAGGAGCAGCGGCTCTACTCCGAGTCCCTCCCGGATGACCGAGCTTCTCACCCTATCTCTAAGGGAGAGCCCAGCCACCCTACGGAGGAAACCCATTTCGGCCGCTTGTATCCGCGATCTCGTTCTTTCGGTCATGACCCAGAGTTCATGACCATAGATGAGGGTAGGAACGTAGATCGACCGGTAAATCGAGAGCTTCGCTTTTTGACTCAGCTCTCTCTTCACCACGACGGACCCGGTACAGCGCCCGCTTCACGGCAGACGCTGCACCAATCCGCCTGTCGATCTCCCGCTCCCTTCTTCCCTCATTCGTGAACAAGATCCCAAGATACTTAAACTCCTCCACTTGGGGCAGGACACCCCCCCTGACCCGGAGAAGGCACTCTACCCTTTTCCGGCTCAAGACCATGGCCTCGGATTTGGAGGCACTGATCCCCATCCCGGCCGCTTCACACTCGGCTGCGAACCGATCCAGCGAGAGCTGCAGATCACGACCTGATGAAGCCAATAGGACCACATCATCTGCAAAAAGCAGAGACGCAATCCTAAGGCCACCAAAACGGATCCCCTCAACACCTTGGCTGCGCCTAGAAATTCTGTCCATGAAGGTAATGAACAGAATCGGTGACAAAGGGCAGCCCTGCACCTTTTGTGCAACAGCCAAAAACACACTTATACTGGGTGATTTCAATCTACATGTAGACTCCCCCACTAATCGCCCCGCTGCAGAATTTCTTGAACTCCTGGACTGTCTACATCTCACACAACATGTCACAGTACCAACACACACCAAAGGCCACACACTGGATCTGGTTATTACAGACAGTGCTTCCATCACCAATCTGCAGGTACATGATTTAGGCATGTCAGACCACAACAGCATCTCCATGGAACTGTCTTTAGCAGGCCCGTACAATAAAACAAAACGTCAGATCCATTTCAGAAACATAAAAGCAATAGATGGCAACCTCCTCAACCAGGACATACAAAACATCTCACTTGACCCACAGTCAATTAATGGATCTGTTAACTACTACAATTCCACCCTCCATAATATCCTCGAATCTCATGCACCTCTAAAAACAACAACAGTTCACTTTTCCAAATCAGCCCCCTGGTACACCATAGAGCTCCGCAAAATGAAAACTGCTGGCCGTGCCCTGGAGCGGAAATACACCTCCACTGGACTACAAGTTTTCAGACAGGCTTACCGTGAACATCGAACATCATATGTCAGAGCACTCACCACAGCCAGATCCCAATATTTCTCCCAAAAAATCACAAACAGCACTGGAAACCCAAAGCAACTATTCTCAACAATAAATTTTCTGCTCAAACCTCCCACACATGCACATGTCGATAATAGTACTAGTCAGTGTAACAGATTTATGGACTTCTTCAAAACAAAGGTAGGATCAATCCGGTCAGCCTTCCCTGTTACAGCCCCATCACCATCACCCGCTGACGGCACTCCCTCAACCCAACACAATACTTTCTCAGTTTTCTCAGACGTCATGCAGACAGAGGTGGAGAAGATCATAAAAAGCATGAGGCCATCCACCTGCGTGTTGGACCCTCTCCCCACAGCACTACTAAAAAATCACATCACAGCCATCAGTCCATTAATCACAGCAATAATTAACCAGTCATTACACTCCGGTCAGGTTCCTCCAGCTCTCAAAACTGCAGTCATTCGCCCCCATCTGAAAAAGCCCTCACTCGACCCTGAAATCCTGGCCCACTACAGACCCATTTCAAACCTGCCATTCCTATCCAAAGTTCTAGAAAAAGTTGTAGCAGCTCAACTCCACAGTCATCTTCACACCCATAAAATATATGAAAAATTTCAGTGCGGTTTCCGATCAGCACACAGCACAGAGACAGCCCTGGTCCGTGTCATGAATGACCTACTCATGACTGCGGACCAGGGCTCACCATCACTCCTCCTCTTATTGGACTTATCATCTGCCTTTTATACCGTTGACCACACCATCCTACTCCATCGTCTTCAGTCCACAGTTGGACTCTCTGGAACCACACTCAACTGGTTCTAGTCATATATCACGGGAAGGTCCGAATTTGTTGCCATACGACAGTCCAATTCATCACCCCATACAGTCACCTGCGGAGTGCCTCAAGGGTCGGTCCTTGGGCCGACCCTTTTCACCATCTACATGCTCCCATTCGGTCAGATAATCAAAAAACACAAGGTCTCTTTTCATTGTTATGCAGATGACACCCAGTTGTACATAAAAATGGACTCGACTTCTCCCGCAGTTCTGCCATCTGCTTTTCACTGTTGCCTGGGGGAGATAAAGACATGGATGGCTGAAAACCTTCTACAGCTCAACAGCAACAAAACAGAAGCCATTCTCATTGGCACCCCACACCAAACCAAGTCCTTCTCCCTAAACAGTATCCCTATCTTCGGTCAAAACATCCCTCTGTCCTCATCTGTTACAAACCTTGGTGTCAAATTGGATCCACATCTCACGTTTGACTCCCACATACGTCACCTCTGCAAGGTCTCTTTCCTCCACCTCAGAAACATTGCCAAACTCCGCCCCTCCCTTTCCCAACCCGACGCAGAAAAGTTAATCCATGCCTTTGTCTCCTCCAGATTGGACTACTGTAATGCTCTCCTCGTCGGGGTCCCTGGCAAAAGTCTACAAAAGCTGCAGCACATCCAGAACTGTGCTGCCCGGGTCCTGACGAGGAGGCGCAAACACGAACACATCACTCCAGTCCTCAGGTCCCTTCATTGGCTGCCCATCCAACACAGAATACATTACAAACTTTGCCTCCTCACTCACCAGTGCATACATGGAACTGCCCCTGCTTACCTCAAGGAACTCCTCACACCTAACACAGCCTCCAGAACCCTCCGCTCCACCACCTCCACCCACCGACTGCACCAGCCAAGAGTCAAGCTCTGCACAATGGGAGATAGGGCCTTCCAGGCAGTTGCCCCACAACTCTGGAATGGCCTCCCAGAGTCCCTTAGGGTCCCACAGAGTGTGGAGGCGTTCAAGAAAGGCCTCAAGACATTTTTATTTAAAATGGCCTTTGAACATTAGTTAGTATTTTATCTGTGTGGTTTTATGGTTATTTTACTGTTTTGTTTTTACTATGTAAGTTATTTTATTGTAATGTCTCGTTCTAACTATGTATGCTGTTTTTATTGTACGGTTTTGTTTTAACTATGAATTCTGTAGCACTTTGAGATTTTGTTGAAATGTAAAGTGCAATACAAATAAAATGTATTATTATTATTATAACAGCTGCTAGAGGTTCTCTCTCTATGGATCAACAGAAAGAAGAGTCGAAGGCTTGGATTTGAACCTAGAACCCTCTGGTTGCATGACTTTAAACTGACTGGGAAACAGACTGGGAGGGTGGGCTCACTGAAACCATTAAAACCAGTTAGCGTCCGGGAACTAGTTTCTTCTGCAGCTATTTAAAAACTGGAGGATCATTAGTGATGGTTCAGATCTTTGACCCGACTTAAACATCCGACCCGCTTCTGATGGTCTGTAGATGGATGAAAACCAGTCTGCTGCTCCAGCCCTCTAGCTGAGCTGAAACTGTTTTCCATCTCTGCTGTGTCTCCCCCCACTCCCAGTCTGGTGATCTCTCTCTCTCTCAGCCTGGTGGTCTTTGGCTCACCACTAGTTTGGCTGCTATTGTTCTACATGATGTCATTTCCCTTCAGATCGAAGCTCTGCTTAAATGGAGCCTCTTTAAACCCGATAGACCCTGAGCCAGACCCCTGCCATCCGCTCTAATCTGTCAGATTTCAGAGAGCTCAGAGGTGACATGTTGTGGTTTTCTGTTCCTCCTCGATGCAGAGGGTGGCTATGAATGCAGCAAGGATCGATGTGGCGAGACCCGAAACGAGCAGCATGCCTGCCACTGCTCCGATGACTGCCTTGCCAGAGGAGACTGCTGCACCAACTACAAGAAACTCTGCAGAGGTTTGTATCTTCCAACGTCTCCTTTCTGTGCGCCGACCCCCCCACATTTTCCTGCTGGTTTCATTAACGTCTGTTTGCTGTAGAAAGAAATGAAAACTTTAGTGACTAAACATCCACCCAAACCCTCAGTAGAAACAGCCCCATCTAGTGGCCACAAGTCTCAGGTAGGTTGGTCTTTACAATGAGACTAGTAGGAGGTGTCAAAGGATGACAGGTTTCCATTTTGCAGGAATCACATGACCTGGCGGGGGATGGCGGCTGGACCAGCAGAGGATGATGGCTGGTCTGATTACGCAGAGTCCAATCAGGTCATCTGAACTCCAGGCTTAGCCATAACTAAAGGCAGGAGGTTTTAATGAGCCACTGTGCTTGTTATGACAGTCTGACTGTAGGCTGGTGTTGCTAACAGGTTCAATGAGCGAGTGGAGGAAGTCCTCTGGGCAGGTGAAGCTGATTCTTCACTGTTCTTTGGTTCCATCTATGTTCAACAGTTTGGTTTTTGATGTTAAGTAGAAGGTAGAGACTGAACTTCTGAACTTTTTTAACATGTGGCTCATTTTAATGGAACTGGCTGACAGGAACATGCAGGTTGGATTGGAACCCGGGTCTGTAGGTCTTCGTACATGGGTCGTGTGTGCTAACCACTGCACTACCGAAGCACAACTCCTTCAGCAGCTCCAGGCTTTGTTCCTTTTTTGCAGGTGGTGCAAAGATGGCCGCCTTCTGCTTGGTGTTTGACAGACAGTGGTTGGGAAAGTTCTCGGCTCCTGTGTAGAACCACCACTGGTGATCAAGATTTAGATAATGAACATGTTTTTCCCACCTTCATTTCCCTTCAGGAGAAACTCCATGGCTGCAGGATGACTGTGAGGAAATCAAGGCCCCTGAGTGTCCTGCCGGGTATGTTTTAATCTCTGACGTGTCAAACATGAAGTCAGATTAAAGGTGTCTGATGACGTTCACTGCGTGTGCAGGTTTGTGCGTCCACCGCTCATCATCCTATCGGTGGATGGCTTTAGAGCTTCCTACGTGAAGAGAGGGAACGCTGTCATGCCCAACATTGAAAAACTCCGTAAGCTTTTTTTATTCTCTTTGTTCTGTATCTTCTAAATTTTTATTTTTTTACAGTGTCCCGTCTGGCAAGGTGGCAATAAGAATAATTGTCTTGATGCCAAAAGGAGCCCAACAGATTTTACTTTCACAAGTGTAGCAATATGGCAATTGCCACTGCAATGTAGTTAGAGCAGAAAAACAGAAGAAGAAAAAGGAAAAAAAGGACAAAAGATGAAAGAAAGAGGAGATAGAAAGGAGACAATGACAAAACATTTTTAATCTGCTTCATCACCTGTAACGAGATGAAAAAAAGAACAGCACAACCGAAAGACATGGTACGAGATATACAATAAAGCAACACCTTGAAACTATCGCTAAAGTAATATTATTAAGTCTGACATGTACTCTGTGTTACCTAAAGATATGAATGTGGGGTTTCTGTTTGGAAGTGAATCTCTAAGTACCTGAAGCCTAGCACCTGTAGTTGTTTGTGAGGGTGAACTTGTGCATGTAAAGTTTTAATCATAGAAAAAATGCTCAATAATGGTTGTGGAGAGCCGGAGAGGCACACCCCCCAGAGCACTGAGTCCAGCGCCGGGAGACCCAAAGCCCCAGGCGCCCAAAGGGACCCCAAGAGCGAAGGCACCAAGGAGGGGCCAGCCCAGGAAATCAGACCCCCACCAAGGGAGGAGGAGAGACAGCCACGAAGAAGCCCCCCAGCCACCGCCATGCCCCGGGGAGCCGCGGGGACGAGTCCGTGGGCCCCGCCGGCAGCCGGCCACCCTGAAGTAGGTCCGGGCACCGAACACCGGCCCCCCTACGGCACCGACCGAAACGCCCCAGCCCCACAGAGCACCGAAACACGCCCCGCCCCCCGGCACCAAGCCCCGGCAACCGGCTGCAACACCCACCGCGACCGCACCACCCAGGAAAAACACACAGGCGGCCGGGGCCCATGCGCATCCGCCGCGAACCGGCTGCGAGCGCCGCGGCCCCCCAAAATGCCCACTGGCCAAAAGCGCAGCCCCACCCCACCAAGACCGACGCCAACAGCGCGCAACGCAACACACCGCGAACAGAATCAACCCAAGAGCAGAAAAGCCGCCCAGTGCAAAACCGCAAGAAGAGCAGACTGCAGTCGCCGCAACCACCCCCCCCCCAGCAGCCCGAGGGGCAGCACAAAGCCAGAGCTGAGCGAACCCCGCCGCTCCCCCACCGGACGAAGCCAAAGCAGCACAGCCACGTCCGCCGCCCCGCACCAGGCCCTGACACGCGGCCAGAGCAGCTCCGCCGCCCCGGCCCCCCAAAGCGCGCCGGCCAGAGCCACTCCAACCCCCACCCGCCCCGCAGCCACACCCGCCGCGATCAGCAGGAACAAAGCAGCTCCACCATGCCTCCAAGAGGGAAAACCCACCCGAATACCCAATCAGCACAGCCAGCCCGTCCACACCGGCCCCCCAACACCACCCCCGCTGGAGCCGCCCGGACCCCCACACACCAGCGGCGCACCGCCAGCAGGACCCCCACCCAGCAGGCCCGCCCACCCCCGAAAAAAAAGACATGCCAATCCCCCCCCAAAAAAAAAAAAAAAAAAAAGGTGCCCCCACAATGCGACAGTGGACACCTGTCACCGACCCGCCCGCAACCTCTCCCCCCCACGAGGAAGAAAAAGAAAATTAAATAATAAATAAATAAGTACATAAATTAATTAATTAATTAATTAATAATTACAATCAAAATAAATATGCAAGAGGAGAAATGCGAGCGGAAAAACCGGAGCCCAAAACAAGACCCAAGACCCGCACCTCACCATGCCGTGCAGCTCCCCTCCCCCCCGAACCGATACCACAGAACCGGCATAGGAAGAAGCACCGCCCAGGAACCGGAATCGTAGCGAAGGCACCGACACAGAGACCGAAAATCCCCGAACAACACCCAGCCCCACCCCGAAGTGGACCCAGTCCCGGGCCCCAGGGATCCGAGGCCCCAAGGGCGCCCGACCCCCAGACAGGAGCCCCAGCGAAGCCCCGGCCGGCCGGGGCCAGCGGAGAGGCCGCCAGGAATGAGCCAGCAGCCCCCCGGGCATCTGCCCCCAGACCCCGAGCTCCACCAGTGCACTGGTGAGCCCCGACGCCAGTCAGCGGAGGGAGAGCAGGACGGGGGGAATGGGCTCTGCACTTAGCAGAGACTTGAGATGTATTTGGGAGAGGGTGCGGTTGAGACCCCAACCTGGGAGGAAAAAAAAACACACTCACCATCTCAATCATGCCTTCCCTCCCTAGTGCCCCCACCTCGACACCGGCCCCCGAACGACTCCCCCCGACACCGGTCCCACAACACCAATCCGAAGAAGAAAGCCACACAACACAGCAAAGCGCAAATCCCGAGCCCCACTCCAAGCTCTGATTTCCCCGCCCACACCCCCCCTCCCACACATAAAAAAAAAATAATTATATGTATCTTCTAAATTAAACAAAGCGCAAAGACACAAATGCATGAAGCCAGCATGACCCCCTCCCTCTGAGCTGAACGAGTCCTCCTGAATGAATCAGCAAGTCCAAGTCCAGACCTTAAGGTCTTCCTCAGGTCCCTGTGGGAATCTCAAGAATGAAGTAAATGCTTGAAATATCCCAAATCTTTTCCCTTAGAGCTCCACGGACAAAACAGACCTGACACTACCACTAACCCCTCCCACCACACACACACACCACCTATTTGTATCATTTGTTCCAGAGTAATTAACATTCTGATAAAACATTGAACCATGTTCCCATCCTTTCTCCAGCTTCCTGTTGGGTTTTTAGCCCGACCCAAAGCTGATAGTTTGAGGGACCTTCAGACAGAACTGGATTCGCTCCGTTATTCTTAATGTCTGACGGTTTATTGCTCTGGAAGGCCAAGTGAAATAATGTGTCATTGTTTAGGAACCTGTGGGACCCATGCCCCCTACATGAGGCCTGTTTATCCCACTAAAACCTTCCCCAACCTCTACTCAATAGCAACTGTAAGTATGGATTCACTTTGTCTCTAGTCTATTGATCTATAGTTTCCATGGTGATATAAAACACAGTGAGCATGACTCACCGATATTCCAGGGTCTGTATCCAGAGTCTCATGGCATCGTTGGGAACTCCATGTATGATCCAATATTTGATGCAACATTTAACCTGAGGAGCAAAGAGAAACTGAACCATCGCTGGTGGGGAGGACAGCCGGTAAGTCTCTGCAGAGCTGCAATGGTTTTCTTTAGTTCCACTAACACTTCAATGCTAAAATAAGGTCCATGAAGACAGAGTTTTTGATCCTAGATGGTACCCAGTGGTCGCTATGGAAACCCTTTACTGGGCTCTGCTCTGTTCTGTTAACTGGACCTGACACTAAAATCAGAGAGGAAGGGGTCCGCCCTAACCCCTAGATCCCTCCATAGCTATATAGAGTGGGGTCCGCCCCATCCCTTAGATCCCTCCATAGCTATATAGAGTGGGGTCCGCCCCATCCCTTAGATCCCTCTGTCGCTATATAGAGCGGGGTCCGCCCCATCCCTTAGATCCCTCTGTTGCTATATAGAGCGGGGTCCGCCCTAACCCTTAGATCCCTCTGTCGCTATATAGAGCGGGGTCCGCCCTAACCCTTAGATCCCTCCGTCGCTATATAGAGCGGGGTCCGCCCTAACCCTTAGATCCCTCTGTCGCTATATAGAGCGGGGTCCGCCCCATCCCTTAGATCCCTCTGTCGCTATATAGAGCGGGGTCCGCCCCATCCCTTAGATCCCTCCGTCGCTATATAGAGCGGGGTCCGCCCCATCCCTTAGATCCCTCCGTCGCTATATAGAGCGGGGTCCGCCCCATCCCTTAGATCCCTCCGTCGCTATATAGAGCGGGGTCCGCCCTAACCCCTAGATCCCTCCGTCGCTATATAGAGCGGGGTCCGCCCCATCCCTTAGATCCCTCCGTCGCTATATAGAGCGGGGTCCGCCCCATCCCTTAGATCCCTCCGTCGCTATATAGAGCGGGGTCCGCCCTAACCCCTAGATCCCTCCGTCGCTATATAGAGCGGGGTCCGCCCTAACCCTTAGATCCCTCTGTCGCTATATAGAGCGGGGTCCGCCCCATCCCTTAGATCCCTCCGTCGCTATATAGAGCGGGGTCCGCCCTAACCCCTAGATCCCTCCGTCGCTATATAGAGCGGGGTCCGCCCTAACCCCTAGATCCCTCCGTCGCTATATAGAGCGGGGTCCGCCCTAACCCCTAGATCCCTCCGTCGCTATATAGAGCTGGGTCCGCCCCATCCCTTAGATCCCTCTGTCGCTATATAGAGCGGGGTCCGCCCCATCCCTTAGATCCCTCCGTCGCTATATAGAGCGGGGTCCGCCCTAACCCCTAGATCCCTCCGTCGCTATATAGAGCGAAGTCCTCCCTAACCCTTAGATCCCTCCGTCGCTATATAGAGCGAAGTCCGCCCTAACCCCTAGATCCCTCCGTCCCTATGTAGAGCGGGGTCCGCCCTAACCCTTAGATCCCTCCGTCCCTATGTAGAGCGGGATCCGCCCTAACCCCTAGATCCCTCCGTCGCTATATAGAGCGGGATCCGCCCTAAACCCCTAGATCCCTCCATCGCTATGTAGAAAGGGATCTATCAGCAGATTTGCCAGATGCAACATGGCAGATGCTCTGACTCATCCTCAGCAGAGGCACACCCACTTAACGAGACGTCTGATGTGATGTCTGTGGCTGCTGATGAGTTTCACCCAGAAAATCATTGATGAAAACATCCTTCTTTTCCACAATGGTCAGAGGAAATGAAACAATCTGGTGACTTTGTTAACCGATTATTGATTTTATGGGATGTTTGTCAGTGAACACGATCATGCTAAAGATCTAGCAGAAATATGGCTTCCCTCAGATATAAGCTCCTCTTCATGCACCTTGATCTTTTTTTTTTTTCTGTTCAGATCTGGATCACAGCCCTCAGACAGGGACTGAAAGCTGCCACCTTCTTCTGGCCTGTGTAAGTTTGCTCCTCACCCTGAGGATTCAGAGAATGTTGAATATGGCATTGTTGGATGTTTTTAACTAATCTAACCTTAGCCATTGAAACACCTGACCAGAAGAGCATTAGAAGTTGCGTTGGTAAATCAAGTCCAGCTGGACGGGCTTGGTCTGAACCAGGCCTTCCATCTCTGGTGGATTTTAAAATAATCTGGGATGTCCAGGATAAAGAGACGACCTCAGGATACTAAAGACATCGATGGCGTGATGTGATGATTAGCAGGCGTATCCAACCTTCCGCCTGAGCTAGCATCATAGCTCCATACTGACTGGAATATTTTAGGCTGATTCTTTGTTTCACTGGAGGATGTTTTCATTTGACTCTGGAAAGTTGAGGATGCAATAGAAAAGTGAATTCCTTAGAAATGCCGATGCTTTTCTAGCTGCAGCATGCTCTGTGTGTCTGTGTACCGTAGGGCCATTCCTCTGGAGAGGAGGATCCTGACCCTGCTGCAGTGGCTCCACCTCCCTGAATCCCACAGGTGAACAGATTTCCATTCCACTCTGTCTTCAGTCTTGCCTGATTTTTTATAAAGACTGGTTTAGTTGTCTCCCAGAAGTCTGTCCTCCTGCTGCAGCGCTGAACAGAGATGCATCGCTTCCTTTTTTTTTTCCTCCAGCTTTTATTATCATTCCACTGTCACAGTGACCACTAGGCCGCCACTCCCCCTGATGCTAATGTTGAACCCGTCTCTCATGTCTGCTCTGGGTGAATTTTGGTTCCAGTTCAGTGTTTCAGAACATGAACGCTCCAGAAACCAGTTCCTTCCAGTTCTTAATCCAATACAGGCAGAATAAACTTAAATGCTTTAAGCTTCAGTCTCTGCAGACCAGGAGGTGGAACCCTGCAGCAAAGACACCTTTGGTCAGAACGCCACATGTTCTGCTAAAACCCACCAACCTGCATCTTGTTTCAGGCCCGACGTTTATGCCATGCACTCTGAGCAGCCGGACACCTATGGACACAAAGTGGGCCCAACCAGCACAGATGTAAGTGGGCTTCACCATCCTGTTGGTGCAGCATGTTTGAACCTTCATGCTCCCCTCTGTGCTCCTCCAGTTGAACAATCCTCTGAGGATGGTCGACCGGATCGTGGGCCAGCTGATGGACGGACTCAAACAGATGAAACTGCACCGGTGTGTCAACATCATCCTGGTGGGAGACCACGGTACGGCGTTAGCTGTCGACCAGCCTGGACGAGCAGTCCAGAGGTGTGAGAGGAAGTTTCAGTGCAGAAGTCCATGAACAAGGGGGGGGGGGGGGTCTGAAGTCTTACTGCCCTTAAATGATTTCAGAAAATCGGAGGAGCAAAAATAATCAGATTTCGTGCTTTATCCACAAAATCCACAAAGCTCCATCCTGGGGCCCCTGTCCTTGATAGCATGATGTAAAGAATGTTCATTGAGCAGCGGCGCTCTAAGGGAGGGGGCGCTCTAAGGGTGAAGGCGTTCCAAGGGAGGGGGCGCTCTAAGGGTGAAGGCGTTCCAAGGGAGGGGGTGCTCTAAGGGTGGAGGCGTTCCAAGGGAGGGGGTGCTCTAAGGGTGAAGGCGTTCCAAGGGAGGGGGTGCTCTAAGGGTGGAGGCGTTCCAAGGGAGGGGGTGCTCTAAGGGAGGGGGTGCTCTAAGGGAGGGGGCGCTCTAAGGGAGGGGGCGCTCTAAGGGTGAAGGCGTTCCAAGGGAGGGGGTGCTCTAAGGGTGGAGGCGTTCCAAGGGAGGGGGTGCTCTAAGGGTGAAGGCGTTCCAAGGGAGGGGGTGCTCTAAGGGTGGAGGCGTTCCAAGGGAGGGGGTGCTCTAAGGGAGGGGGTGCTCTAAGGGAGGGGGCGCTCTAAGGGAGGGGGCGCTCTAAGGGTGAAGGCGTTCCAAGGGAGGGGGCGCTCTAAGGGTGAAGGCGTTCCAAGGGAGGGGGTGCTCTAAGGGTGGAGGCGTTCCAAGGGAGGGGGTGCTCTAAGGGAGGGGGCGCTCTAAGGGTGGGGGTGCTCTAAGGGTGGAGGCGTTCTAAGGGTTGGGGTGCTCTAAGTAAGGGGGAAGGCGCTCTAAGGATGGATGCGCTCTAAGGATGGAGGCGCTCTAAGGATGGAGGCGCTCTTAGGGTGGGGGCGCTCTGGGGGTGAAGGCACTCCAAGGGATAGGGGAGCTCCGAGAGAGGGGGCGCTCTAAGGGTGGGGCGCTCTAAGGGTGGGGCGATCTAAGGGCAGTAGCTGATGGACCTACAGTTACTCCACCCGAACGCTTTCATTAGGTTTTTGTATTTTCCTAAAATGAGCTCAAACTTATATTAATTGAATTCTTTCTTATTGTTTAGAACACCATAGAACCAGAATACACTGATATTTATATTTAGAGATGTTAAAGAGATGCCTGTTAGTGCATTATATAGAGAGAACCCAACAACAACAAAAACAATAACTAATAACGGCCGATTCTGATGCCAAAATCAGTAAATCATGCATCCCTAGAAGTTTCAATTTCATCCAGAAAAATATGGATATGCTTCATTTTAATTATAGCATAGCATTTTTTTTTCTTGTAAACTTTCTGATAAACTTGGAGATATATTTTATTCCATGATGCGTTTCCCGGTAAATCTGTTTCTCCTTTAAATCTGCAGCTCTCCCTGCTTCTCTCTGTTTAAAAAGATTTATGAATCTCTTTACTAATATAATGATGGTAGAAACAACATTTCTAGATCTGTAGAAGCTCTGCAGTCTGATTCTATCTGTTCAATAAGAAAACAATAATTTTAACCTGGAACTGGGAGTCATGATCCTCTAAGAAGCCAAGATTTTCTAACTAGTAAAGAAGAACAAACTATGTTTTCTAAAGCTACTTGCATTATATTACTAACTAGTTTAAACTTGCAATCTGTTTTTTAGCTGAAAAAGCTCTGTATGTCTAACGAACAGATTTTTCGGTGGCATCTCTAATTATTTTCATTATTTCACATTCTCTTTGTGTTTATTACCCGTTCTCTCTGGTTTCTGACCCACTCCATGTGTTCTGACCCCTTCTTTCTCGGTTCTGACCTGTTCTCTCTGTGTTCTGACCCTTTCTCTCGGGTTTCTGACCCATTCTCTCTGAGTTTTGACCCATTCTCTTTGGGTTCTGATCTGTTCTCTCTGGTTTCTGACTTGTTCTCTCTGGGGTCTGACCCGCTCCATGTGTTCTGACCCGTTCTTTTTGGGTTCTGACCCGTTCTCTCTGGGTTCTTACCTGTTTTCTCTGTGTTCTGATCTGTTCTCTCTGGTTTCTGACTTGTTCTCTCTGGGGTCTGACCCGCTCCATGTGTTCTGACCTGTTCTTTTTGGGTTCTGACCCGTTCTCTCTGGGTTCTTACCTGTTCTCTCTGTGTTCTGACCCGTTATTTCTGGGTTCTGACTAGGGCTGAAACAACGAATCGATAAAATCGACTTTTAAAAGCGTTGGCAACGAATTTCATCATCGATTAGTTGTGTCGCGCGATTAATGCGTCATCCGCCGCCATCGTCATCACATCCACTTGACTGAAACGGGGGGAAAAAAAAAAAAAATACGGCAGAGCGAGCCAGGTGTTGTGTTGCCAACTCAGCGACTTTTCAGACCCCTCCAGCAATTATTTTTCAAAAAAGCGACTAGCGACAAATCTGGCGACTTTTTACGGTGTCACTGGCGGCTTTTGGAGACTCTTACGTGAAAGCATGTATCGTTCCTACTCTTGTCCTCCAGTGGCAGCTGCTGCCGTGGGGCGCCTCCCCCATCCCCCGTTCTCACGCTCCCGCAGGAGTCCCTCTCAGCGCTGCAGTCAGAGCCGCAGGATGTTTACCCTCAGCTTCCAGACTGCAAATGAAGAGCGCATGCGCCGGGATTGACGGCGCAAATTGATCACAATAATTAAAATAGCCTGCGCTTTGTAAAGCGAAAAAAGTCGTAACAAGCAACTTTAGTAAAAACAAATGAACATGGCACAAAGCACCACTGTTATGATGCCTGAAAAGGAAACACGTTGGAGCCTTCGATGTCAGTGAAGAGAGCTGATCAGCAGGGTGAGCGAGCATGTTTGTTTGGTTTTAAAGTGGGGAAACGTAACGTTAGTTTCTCAGGTAGCTCATCTGATGCTTTCCTTACCGTGTTAGTAGGTTACAGACAGTGATAAGGTTGGCTACTTATTTTACTTTTAATTTCATTTGAATTAGCTTAAGCAGCGTTTATATTTTCGTTATAAATAAATTAAGTTGCAAATTATGAGGGCAAGGCTTTTAAAGTTTAAATCTTCTGACAAAGATAAAGAAAAGAAGATCCTGCAATTTATGGAAGTAAAGCAGAATAAAATCCAGCAAGATCAGTAATATGTCAATTAATTATCTGCCACATTCCCATGTAAATATCTGTCTTTGGAGGATGTGTTTTTTAGCAGCCCTAGTTCTCTCATTTTTATTCCAAATACAATTTATAATTTGAATCACAGGGCTATTTTTATCTCTATGGTTCAGTATTTTCTCAAGTAGCAACTTTAACTGCTATACTTTCCTGTCTTAAAAGGCAGAACTCTTCTAGTCTAAAAAAAACTCATTTGTTGAAATGAGGGGGCCTATTGTTTGAACCCCTTAGGGGCTTTTAAAAACGAAAATGTCTTTTTTTGCGCCTTATGAAACAAAGTAGCCTATATTTTGTGGATGTACAGCTACATTTCTCATGTACGTTTGCGTAGTTTTAACACTAACATTTTTCATATTGCACCAGTACAGTTAATGAGCAACCTGTACTTGTTTGCTTGTTTGTTCTGTCTAAAATGTTTATTTTGGAATAAAGAGGTTAATATAAAAAATATCTTTTGTCCGATTAATTGATTAATCGACAAAATAATCGGCCGATTAATCGATTTTTAAAATAATCGTTAGTTGCAGCCCTAGTTCTGACCCGTTCTCTCTGGTTTCTGATCCATTCTCTCTGGTTTCTGACCCACTCTTTCTGTGTTCTGACCCGTTCTTTCTCGGTTCTTACCTGTTCTTTCTGGGTTCTGTCCTGTTCTCTCTGGTTTCTGATCTGTTCTCTCTGGTTTCTGACCCGCTCCATGTGTTCTGACCCATTCTCTGGGGTTTCTGACCCGTTCTCTCTGAGTTTTGACACATTCTCTTTGGGTTCTGACCTGTTCTCTCTGGTTTTTGACCAGTTTTCTCTGGTTTCTGACCCTCTCTCTCTGTGTTCTGACCCGTTCTTTCTGGGTTCTGACCCGTTCTCTCTGGGTTCTGACCCTTTCTCTCTGGTTTCTGATCCATTCTCTCTGGTTTGTGACCCACTCTTTCTGTGTTCTGACCCGTTCTTTCTGGGTTCTTACCTGTTCTTTCTGGGTTCTGTCCTGTTCTCTCTGGTTTCTGATCTGTTCTCTCATGTTTCTGACCCACTCTTTCTGTGTTCTGACCCGTTTTTCTGTGTTCTTATCTGTTCTTTCTGGGTTCTGTCCTGTTCTCTCTGGTTTCTGATCTGTTCTCTCTGGTTTCTGACCCACTCTTTCTGTGTTCTGACCCATTCTTTCTGGGTTCTTATCTGTTCTTTCTGGGTTCTGTCCTGTTCTCTCTGGTTTCTGATCTGTTCTCTCTGGTTTCTGGTCCGTTCTCTCTGGTTTCTGGCCTGCTCTCTCTGTGTTCTGACCCGTTCTTTCTGGGTTCTGACCCGTTCTCTCTGTGTTCGGACCTGTTCTTTCTGGTTTCTGACCTGTTCTCTCTGGTTTCTGATCTGTTCTCTCTGGTTTTTGACCCGCTCTCTCTGTGTTCTGACCCATTCTTTCTGGGGTCTGACCACTTCTTTCTCGGTTCTGTCTTTTTCTCTCTGACTTCTGACTTGTTCTCTCTGGGTTCTGACCCGCTCCATGTGTTCTGACCTGTTCTTTTTGGGCTCTGACCCGTTCTCTCTGGGTTCTTACCTGTTCTCTCTGTGTTCTGACCCGCTCCGTGTGTTCTGACCCGTTCTTTCGGGTTTCTGACCCATTCTCTCTGAGTTAACACATTCTCTTTGGGTTCTGACCTGTTCTCTCTGGTGTTTGACCAGTTTTCTCTGGTTTCTGACCCACTCTCTCTGTGTTTGAACCGTTCCTTCTGGGTTCTGACCCGTTCTCTCTAGTTTCTGACCCGCTCTTTCTGTGTTCTGACCCGTTCTTTCTGGGTTCTTACCTGTTATTTCTGGGTTCTGTACTGTTTTCTCTGGTTTCTGATCTGTTCTCTCTGGTTTCTGACCCACTCTTTCTGTGTTCTGACCTGTTCTTTCTGGGTTCGACCTATTCTCTCTGGGTCCTGACTCATTCTCTCTGGTTTCTGACCTCTTCTTTCTAGGTTCTGACCTGTTCTCTCTGGTTTCTGACCCATTCTCTCTGTGTTTATTACCCTGTCTCTCTGGGTTCTGACCCGCTCCATGTGTTCCGACCCGTTTTCCCGGGTTTCTGACCCATTCTCTCTGAGTTTTGACACATTCTCTTTGGGTTCTGACCTGTTCTCTCTGGTTTTTGACCAGTTTTCTCTGGTTTCTGACCTGCTCTCTCTGTGTTCTGACCCGTTCTTTCTGGGGTCTGACCCGTTCTGTCTGGGTTCTGACCTGTTCTCTCTGGGTTGTGACCCATTCTCTCTGGTTTCTGACCCATTCTCTCTGTGTGGATCTGTGTTTTTTCTCCACCAGGATCTAAAGTGAAGGACTCGTTTGTCCTCTGGGAATCTTACCAAGCTTCCTGTCCTTCCTTGGTTTTCCAGGTATGGAAGAGGCTCACTGCGAGCGAACAGAGTTCCTTAGTAACTACCTGAGCACAGTGGAAGACATTATCCTGATACCCGGCTCTCTTGGCAGAATCCGCTCCAGATTTCCCAGCAGCCTCAGATGTGAGTTTCTTTCTTCCTGTTTGGATGGAAATGATTTGCTGTAAATAAGTCAACCTGCTGATCTCTGTTAGGAAGAGGCTGAGTTGTCTCAGTATCCAGCAGCTTAGCATGTAACTTTGTTTGATCGCTGTTTTGGAAAAGTTCAGGAAAGCTTAGCATGTCCCGCCTGCTGCAGGGGAGCCCCAAGAATCTGGATTTGACATTACCATCAGAATGTTGGTAAAGACAGATTACCAACAGAATGCAGTAGCTCACAGGCAGATGGAGCAGGCAGCAGCTTATTGGCCGGTTCAGGGGTCTCAACAGGACAACAATGATGAAGAGGTCTTATAGGATAGAAATGCTATCTGAGTCTGTGATCCATCAGAGGTGGGCCAGGCGGGAGCAGCAACAGGCCATTAAGGTTTTTAGCTCAGAGCTTCGTAGCAGAGCGGCAGGTTCCCATGTCCAGCTGGAATATCAGATGGAAGAGAGGCTGGACCTGTTGTGGTCAGAGCACTGCGTTGAGATGAGACGTCCTCTGTCCTCCATGATGATCAGCAGGTCCTCTCAGAAACAATCTATGCTTTTCTTCCAGATGATCCCAGGGCTGTAGTTGCCAATCTAACGGTGAGTCCAATCAATGAGGACATGTTGAATGATGTTTATCAGGCTGTCATGCATCCTGGGACAGTTTAACATCTCAGGGATGCCCCCCCCCTCCAGTGTCGGAGGCCAGAGCAGCACTTTAAGCCATATCTGAAACAGCATCTGCCCAAAAGACTGCACTATGCCAACAATCGGCGGATTGAGGACATTCACCTGCTGGTAGACAGGAAGTGGCATATAGCCAGGTAGGTAGAGCTTCATTTACTAAAGTCTGAGAAGCTGGTATACATGAGGGGAGTCCAGACCTTCAGGAGTCCTGCATCGAAAATCTATTAAATTATTACCTTTTTTTGAGTTTTTACAACACTAGTGGCTCATTTTAATGGACAGTAGGCTGACGGGAAAGGAGGTATGAGAGACATGCGGCAAAAGACTACAGGTCAGAGTCAAACCCAGGTCGACTGCATGGAGGACTAAGGCCTCCATACATGGGTCTTGAACGCTAACCACTGCGCCACTAAGGCACGCCCATTATGACGTTATTTTGAATCGAATCTATAACTGTTTAAATGACTGTTGAGCAGTAAAAGCAGCCTGATCAGCAGTTTAAAGAACAACATTTTAGGACTTTATTAACAATAAAATTCAGCTTGAAGTCAAAATACTTTATTAACAAACTTCTTAGTCAGGCAAAGAAGAATCTTATCCATAAAAACTAACCATAAACAATGAAACAATCTGTATTGTTGGTTTCTTTAGAAATCACCGGCAGCAGGTGGAGTCCCTCCAGGGGGCGCTATAACTTTAAATTAGACGTATACCAAACACCAATCAAACGTATACTAAGATATCACACCACTATCTTTCTATGAATGCCAACAACAGAAAACAACATTCTAAAGTGTTCTGCAAAGTGCTTTAAATCAGTCCTTGCTGTCTTTATCCCTGCTGGCTCAGATCCTGACGTTTGATAAAGTTAGCCTAGCCTTGTTGCTAAATAATTCTATCAACCTGTCAATCAGCCACACTTTCTGACAGACGACTGTGCAGTCAGCGCTGTGGAGGGAGGAGGGGTGCAAATAAAGCTGCTTTCAGCTCTGGGTGCAGGAGAGCTGCTCCCCAGGATGCTCCTATCTGTAGCATCGAAGAGGAGCTGCTGCTCTGGACAATTATAACCAGGGTCTATGGGAGAAGATTTATGGAAGTCACCAATCTAAAGACGGACGACATAGCTTTACTCATCATTAAAGATTAAATACTTATCTATAAAATATATTATTATATTTGTGAAATATTTAAACTTTATAATTAAATTTTTATCTGTTTTTTTTTTATGTCTTAATCAGGGTCATTGGGTGGGTGGGGCGACGCCCTAGCGCCCTCTGTTGGCCAGCCGCCACTGATAGAACCACTTCAAAACATTTCATCTCAGGTCACTTTACAGAGATGAACGAAGGATTTTATTTTAAACAAGCAATGACTTCGCTAATCAGCTAAAAATAAACAAAGAAAAAAACGACTATATTTGCAGTTACAGACTCAACTGGTAATATATTACAGGATCCGTAGGGTATTATTAATGCCTTCCGAGATTTCTATAAATCTTTATACACATCACAGTTAAATCCATTAGATAATGATATTAAGCGATTTCTGGATAAAATAACTCTTCCTAAATTATCATAGAGTCAAAGATTGACCCTGGACTCACCACTGTCTACAGCTGAAGTTCAGGAAGCATTAAAAACATGCCAAACAATAAAGCTCCAGGTCCAGACGGGTTCCCTACTGAGTTCTATAAAGAGTTCTGGAACATTCTGGCCCCAACGTTCCACAGAATGCTGCAAGAAACTCTAGATAATGGAACATTTCCAGTTAATATGAATTCTGCCACCATTAGTCTCCTGCTTAAGCCAGGCAAAGATCCTATGTTTCCCACCAGCTATCGTCCCATATCCTTAATTAATGTGGATATTAAAATAATCTGTAAAGCTTTAGCAAAATGATTAGATAAAGTCACTCCTCTCATAATCCACCCAGATCAAACTGGTTTCATTAAAGGAAGGCAGTCAGCTGCTAACACACGCAGACTGCTGAATTTAATAGATTATTCCTTCAGTAAAAATCTGAAATCCTATATATTGTCTTTAGATGCAGAAAAAGCATTCGATAGAGTAAACTGGAAATTTTTTATTTGCTACTCTACATAAATTTGGCTTTGGCAATTCCTTTATAAATTGGTTAAAAATATTATACAGCTTCCCAACAGCCTGTGGCAGGACAAACAATCAAACATCTTCCAGCTTTTGTCTCCAGAGGGGCACCAGACAGGGATGCCCACTGTCCCCCTCACTTTTTGCCATTTTTCTTGAGCCTCTGGCTGCTACAATCAGACAAACTAATATGGTTAAAGGTATAAAAGGCATGAAAATAGAGCATAAAATTAGTCTTTACGCAGATGATGTATTACTTTATCTCCAGCACTCAAACACTTGCCTCTCTCAAGTGATTAGTTACTAGAATCTTTCTGAAAAGTCTCAGAATACTCTATAAATTGGTCTAAATCTGTAATACTACCAATTATTTGCTCTCTACAGAATCCCTCAGGTCTACAATTGCAATCAGGAAATATCAAATATTTGGGAATTACTGTGTCATCTAAACTAGCTGAGTTACCAAAACTCAACCACACCCCTCTTTTAATGAAAATAGAAGAGGACCTAGAAAGATGGAAATCGCTTCCGATCTCCCTTATGGGTCGGGTAGCATCAATTAAAATGATGGTCTTACCCAGAAATAACTACCTATTTTCAATGATCCCAAATAAACCATCACCCGAATGGTTTAAATCTCTAGATTCTTCCATCTCTAAATTTCTTTGGAAGGACAAACCCCTCGTATCAGCTTAAAAACACTACAGAAAACTAAAGACAGAGGAGGACTAGATTTACCTAACTTCCAATACTACTATTTAGCAAATAGATTACAATACATCTCTAAATGGATAAAACATAATCCCTTAGATGAGCCCTGGATAGACACAGAACAGGAAATATGCAGTAATAGTTTCAGATTTGTCGTTTATTAGCTCTAAGATCAAACGGCACCCATGTTTTAAAAATATTAACATCAGCTCTTCCCAGACAGCATGGTGGGAATTTCTAAAAATAACGAAGTCATCACTTATCCCGTGCAGTCGTACACCCATCTGGAATAACCCTGACATTCTACAAAACAATAATGTGATAAACTTTCCGTACTGGAAGAATAAAGGTATTAACTATCTGGATCATTTGTTTGAAGGTACGGAGTTTATCACAGTTGCTAGATTAAATTTGCAATATGGCATTAACAAAAATAAATTCTTAGAATATGAGCAAATTAAAGCTATAATTAGAAACAAATTTTAGCATATTGATGGAGGTTTACAAGTTCCTAGAGTTAACCCCCCCTAAGCTACAGTCTAAATTATACAGGACACTGTGATCTGTCCTCTGAAAGGGTTAATCAATTAATCCTTTTGAATAAATAATTTGATAATATAGAATTATTTATCTTATAAAAACCAAATGCAATTCTAAATAAAAACAGTGAGTTTTTTTCACAACTGGTTGAAAAATCAAGTTAGTATTTATTTCTAATCCAAAGTTTTAATTATTAAAGGCTATCAGGTGTTAATCACAGTCGTCTAAAATATCTTCAGTTTTATTATTTATTCAGATATTTAGACAAACATAAAAACTTCCAAATCCTCAGAGCAATAAAACGAGACGTAAATAACGTAAACTTATAAACAGCTTCTTTCCAAAGCTGCATCCAGACAGAAACTTGTTAGATGTATCTTCTCTGGTTATTTTTAATTGTTGTTGACATAATTTGTAAACAATATATATATATATATATATTTAATTGTTGAATAGTTTGGGATATGTTTAGTTGTTGATCTGTAATTCAGAATTTTTCTAATGTGGGTAATTTTAAAATTGAACGCTAAGCTTTCAATAAACAGTCTAAATGTTTATTTAAAACCTTTAATTAAATCTGCAGCGTTTGGAAGTTATTCAAATCATGTTTTTTTTCGATGAATTGGATTATAATGATAATTGATTATAATTTCCATTTAGAATTATTAGTTATACAATTAGATAAATTGCATAACAACAATATCTGAGCTATATTCTCACGGTGACCTTTGACCTCTGCATGTCTTCCTTACCCTGTGTTTGAACTGAGGAACAGGTGGGCAGCATTTTAAAGCCTGATGTTTTCTGTGATCACAGGAAGGTCCCTGAGGGGAGAAGGCCCTGCGGCTTCTCAGGAGACCATGGATACGACAATAAGATCAACAGTATGCAGGTATCTCCTGCCTGGCATCCAGCAGGCTAACCTTAGGCTAACACTAATTATTCCAAACATGCTTATGTTTCCTAGCCTCTAGGCTTCTCTAACATTGCTATGAATTAAACACATTTATGATAGAATAGAAGCAGTAAATGTAGTTTAGAGGCAGGAAGTCTTCCTTTATTCCAATCAAGTCTTCTTTCTATTGCAGACTATTTTCCTGGGCTACGGACCCAACTTTAAATTCAAGACCAAAGTTCCTGCCTTTGAAAACATTGAGCTTTATAATGTCATGTGTGGTAAGTTGTGTGTTTGGATCCATTCAGGTCAGACTGGAAACCGTTCTGTGACTGAGATGTTCTGGTAGAAGTTCTCCGGTTCCTCATTGGTCCACAGGAAGTGGACCGTAGCGCAGTCAGAATGATGTCCTGAAGGAACCACCGCCTCTATCTGGTTCCTTTATCAGCCTCTCTCTGATCCATCCCATCTCAGATCTCCTGGGTCTGAAACCGGCTCCTAACAACGGAACCCATGGGAGTCTGAACCACCTGCTGAGAAACCCCCCCTTTAGGCCCACCGTGCCAGGGGAGGTGTCCCGGCCGTCTGCATCCAATCTGGTTCCTCTGGTGACCGATGACCTGGGCTGCAGTTGTGATGAAAAGGTGAGTCCTGCTGAGAGTTTTTAGCTTTAGCCACAATGTTGCTAAGCTGTGGAGGACGGGTCCAAACAGAAAAAAGTCTTCACTCCCCGTCAGCATGGTTGGTCATGCTGTAAAAAATGAGAACATGCTAAATACATTCCAACCTTTTTCTGCCTTCAATCTGACCTGTAAACTGTAAAGCACTGGGCCTTAACCCGTCACCTTCAGGGGACGGGTGAGAGCCCAGAGGGGATGGGTCGGAGCCCAGAGGGGATGGGTCGGAGCCCAGAGGGGACGGGTCGGAGCCCAGAGGGGCCAGAGGGGACGGGTCAGAGCCCAAAGGGGACAGGTCAGAGTCCAGAGGGGACGGGTCGGAGCCCAAAGCGGACAGGTCAGAGCCCAAAGGGGACGGGTCAGAGCCCAAAGGGGCCAGAGGGGATGTGTCAGAGCCCAAAGGGGCCAGAGGGGATGTGTCAGAGCCCAAAGGGGCCAGAGGGGAGGGGTCAGAGCCCAAAGGGGACCGGTTAGAGCCCAAAGGGGACGGGTCAGAGCCCAAAGGGGACAGGTCAGAGTCCAGAGGGGACGGGTCGGAGCCCAAAGCGGACAGGTCAGAGCCCAAAGGGAACGGATCAGAGCCCAAAGGGGCCAGAGGGGATGTGTCAGAGCCCAAAGGGGCCAGAGGGGAGGGGTCAGAGCCCAAAGGGGACCGGTTAGAGCCCAAAGGGGACGGGTCAGAGCCCAAAGGGAACGGATCAGAGCCCAAAGGGGCCAGAGGGGATGGGTCGGAGCCCAGAGGGGATGGGTCGGAGCCCAGAGGGGACGGGTCGGAGCCCAGAGGGGCCAGAGGGGACGGGTCAGAGCCCAAAGGGGACAGGTCAGAGTCCAGAGGGGACGGGTCGGAGCCCAAAGCGGACAGGTCAGAGCCCAAAGGGGACGGGTCAGAACCCAAAGGGAACGGATCAGAGCCCAAAGGGGCCAGAGGGGATGTGTCAGAGCCCAAAGGGGCCAGAGGGGAGGGGTCAGAGCCCAAAGGGGACCGGTTAGAGCCCAAAGGGGACGGGTCAGAGCCCAAAGGGGACGGATCAGAGCCCAAAGGGGCCAGAGGGGATGTGTCAGAGCCCAAAGGGGCCAGAGGGGAGGGGTCAGAGCCCAAAGGGGACCGGTTAGAGCCCAAAGGGGACGGGTCTGAGACCAAAGGGGACGGGTAAGAGCCCAAAGGGGACGGGTCAGAGCCCAGAGGGGGCGGATCGGAGCCCAAAGGGGCCAGAGGGGACGGGTAAGAGCCCAAAGGGGACGGGTCAGAGCCCAAAAGGGATGGGTCAGAGCCCAGAGGGGACGGATCGGAGCCCAAAGGGGCCAGAGGGGACGGGTTAGAGCCCAAAGGGCCCAGAGGGGACGGGTCAGAGCCCAAAGGGGACGGATCGGAGCCCAAAGGGGACGGGTCAGAGCCCAAAGGGGACGGGTCGGAGCCCAAAAGGGACGGGTTAGAGCCCAGAGGGGACGGATCGGAGCCCAAAGGGGCCAGACGGGACGGGTTAGAGCCCAAAGGGCCCAGAGGGGACGGGTCAGAGCCCAAAGGGGACGGATCGGAGCCCAAAGGGGCCAGAGGGGACGGGTTAGAGCCCAAAGGGGATGGGTCAGAGCCCAAAGGGGACGGGTCAGAGCCCAAAGGGGACGGGTCGGAGCCCAAAAGGGACGGGTTAGAGCCCAGAGGGGACGGATCGGAGCCCAAAGGGGCCAGAGGGGACGGGTTAGAGCCCAGAGGGGAACAGTCAGAGCCCAGAGTGGTGTTAAAAATGGTTTAAAAGTGAGTTAACAGCCGGTTAGCAGCGGGTTAAAAGCTGGTTTGCAGCTGGTCAACAGTGGGTTAACAGCAAATTAACAGCTGGTCAACAGTGGGTTAACAGTTGGTTAACAGTGAGACAGCAGTTTTATAAAAACCTGTGAACCTGAACCTTGGTCTGTGATCAGGTCATCCTGATGGCTCAGTAACTGCTCTGGTCCTGCGTCCTCCACAGCTCATGTGTTGCCTGGTTGCTTTCTGCAGCAGAGCTGGAGTCTCCCCCCCCCCCCCCCCCCCAGTTCAGACAGTCAAAGGTCAAACATCCATCCTCTGCCTCCTGTTTTCTATACGTCTGGCGGGAGTGAGACGCAGCTCTGCTGCTTCACTGTGTTTCTGATTCCATAAGATCTCTGGCAAGAGATTGTTTTCAATCTCCGATCTTTTGCAGTTGCGTGTAAAAAGTAGAGGCCAGAGAGGTTTAAAGGTGACCCTTGTCCGAGGCTATAACCTGGAGTCACTCTGGCTCTGTCTCTTACAGAACAAAGTGGAGGAGCTAAACCGGCGTTTGAGGCAAGCAATTGATGGTCAGTTTGTTATGATGTTTCTGGAGATGTTAGAACATCTGCAGCCCTGAGGGCTGGAAAAACAAACCAACTCCTTGAACTTTTCACATTTCCCAACAAGAAATGATTGGACCAGGATTTGATGAGGCAGACCAACATGAAGCAGGGCAGGTGGGTGGGTGGGGGGGTGGGGGGGTAATCTGTTAATCTAGGCCATTCTACGTCATTGATCGGCTCTGATCTGATCCATCCAGACTGTCTGTGGTTCAGGGTGGTTCTCCTGCTGGAAGGTGGACCTCTACACTCCAACATGGTTTCTCCCAGGATTTCTCTGCCATCTTCCACTCAGCATAATGCTGCCACCACCATGCTTCCCTGCTGTTATTGTCTCAGTTTGAGAGTCCTGTCAGTGATTGGTCGGTTGTTCTTCCTTTCAAACACCATTAAAGAACTTCTTTCCTAGTTTTTTCACAGGAATCAGGGGAATAGCTTCACATTCTGTTCAGCATCCTGCCAAAGAAGTTGTAAAATGTTGAGATGTTTTACGCCAGGGTCCTTAGGGCCCACTTCCTGTTTCAGACGATTCTCCACTGAAGTACAGCTGATTGAATGATCCCATTATGTCCTCAGCAGCCATCAGACGCAGCAAAAACCCTGTTGATCACCTTTTCAATCTGGTCAGATGCGTGGAGGCAGGGAAACACCTAAAATATTGACGATGGTTTGCTCCAAAGTCATTGGAAAGAGTTAAAATGAGTGAATGTTGGTCTTTCAGAGCTCTGGTCCTTTATCTTTGATGATTAACCCACCACCTTTAGACAGATTCACACCAAAGGATGTTTCTATGGTCTCTATTCTTCCCTGCGATGCTCTGCTTGCTGTTGGTCTGTCATCCCAGGAAAACTTTACATTTATGGTGAAGTTCAGGAGGGTTTGTTATTCCAGTCTGACTCGGACAGACCGGACTTGTTACAGTGGTGCGTCTCTGTGTCGTGTCCCTCTGTGTTCTCCGTCCCTCAGACAGCAGGAACCTGCCCCACGGACGCCCTGCTGTCCTCTTCAGGGCCAAATACAGCGTCCTCCATCACAGCGACTACATCAGCGGATACAGCGAGACTCTCCTCATGCCGCTCTGGACGTCCTACACTGTCAGCATACAGGTACCGCTCTGTCCCTTGGACTCTCTGCTGCGGGACATTGGTGCCCCATAGTGATTGGCAATGGTCATCAGTGCCTGAGCCTCCTTCCTCTGGTCTTCCAGGTAGAGTCGTCTCCTCTGCCTGAAGCTCTGACCAACTGCCTCAGGCTGGACACCCGAGTCCCGCCTGCCTCCAGCCAGTCCTGCTCCACATACAGAGCAGAGAGACACGTGACGTACGCGTTCCTCTACCCGCCACGTAAGTGTTCCCATCAGAGGCCACTCAAACCCTCATGGTGGCTCACTGACAGAAATACTTCAGGATGCTCTTCTACCGCAGTGGTAAAGATGACTGCAGATTTGGTTAGGGTCATTGTTCCTAATTAGTGAACCGTTCGGTTCGACTGTCTCGGTTCGGTTCGCGTGTGTTGCGTTCGGTTCATGCGCTGCTCCTTTTTCTCATAGGCGAAGCGTTTCCACTCCAGAGCAGAAGGTGGCGGTACTGCGACCAAAGCCAACCACCAGTAGTAAACAAGAAGAAGAAGAAGCGAAGCAGCGTAGCCGGGTGTAGCAGAAAAAAATCAGTTGTTGTGGAGAATTGTGTGGGTATGACGAGTGGGAAAGAACCGGAGTTGGAAGACGCGCCAGCAGCACTTTATAGGTCTGCTGTATGGGACCACTTTGCATTTAGAGTGACCTACGATGACGGCGGAAAGAAAGCTGTGGATAAAAGTGCAACAGTGTGCAAGCATTGTGCAACACGTTTTGTTTATGCTAACAGCAACATTACCAACATGTCATGCTAACAATCAACCGTGGATTTAGTGAACCGTTCCACCCCTAGTCCTAGTCCTCTAATGTGCACACACCAGTTAGAAATAAAACCATCACTTATAAAATTAGATTTTGGGAAACAAAGCAAAAGGAGAGACAGTCATGTCTGCTCTGTGTAAAAGGCATCACTAGTCTGATCAGCAGCTTTTAGCAGACAAGTCCAGTCAGATTCTTCTTCCTTTCTGACTCTCAGGTTGCTTCGATGATCAGCAGTAGTTTTCATTAATTTTAATGAGGAACATTGCATCACAGGTTGCTTTGCTCACGAGAACAGCAAGTGCAATTCTGAGCAGTTTGGGGGGAAGTCCTCCTTAGATGGTTCCAGAAGGTCACTGAGCTCTATGACCTCCAAGCTGAAACTGGAGATCCACAGTTTGGCTGCTGTGTTCAGAGGCAAATGGAAATCTACTTGGCAACAAGTAGAACAATTGGCTTTTAGTGGCAGTGGGAACGCCACACTGATCGCGTCACACGACTTTGAAAACGACCCGCCTTCAAAATCACCTTTAAATGGCTTGGCTGTGATCAGCATCCAGTGGGACCCGACTGCTCATTTATATGATACCATTGAGCTTAACGTACAGACATCACAACATGGCGGCAGCCGCGTCTGGTCTAACAAGATGAACATGGCGCAGCGATGATGAGAAAGACTCGGATGGACAAAAGAACGAAACAGTAAAGCAAACTGACTACACCCTGGATTCTATTCAGTTTATTTCTATAGCTCCAATTCACATCATGTCATCTCAGGTCACTTTCCAGTTCACCAGATCATCCAGTCAGATTGATTCAAAGTTTTCTATCTAAGGAAAACCAGCTGATTGCATCGACTCAATGACTCTTCAGCAATCCCTCACACTAAGCATGCTTGTAGCGACAGTGGAGAGGAAAAACTCCCTTTGAACAGGAAGAAACCTCCAGCAGAACCAGGCTCAGTGTGAGCGGCCATCTGCTGAGGCCCACTGAGCCACTCTAACTAGAAGCTTTATCAAAAAGGAAAGTTTTAAGCCTAGCTTTAAAAGTAGACAGGGTGTCTGCCTCACGGACTAAAACTGGTAGTTGGTTCCACAGGAGAGGAGCCTGAGAACTAAAAGATCTGCCTCCCATTCTACTTTTAGAAATTCTAGGAACCACTAGTAAACCTGCAGATTGAGAGCGAAGTGCTCTGTTAGGAACATAAGGAACAATCAGATCTCTGATATCAGATGGAGCTTGGCCATTTAAGGCTTTATATGTGAGAAGGAGGATTTTAAATTCTATTCTTGATTTAACAGGAAGCCAATGAAGAGAAGCCAGGATAGGAGAGATATGATCTCTCTTTTTCATTTTCATTAGAACTCTGGCTGCAGCATTTTGGATCAGCTGAAGGCTTTTAACTACAGTTTGTGGACTTCCTGATAGTAAAGAATTACAATAGTCCAGCCTTGAAGTAACAAATGCATGGACTAGTTTCTCAGCATCACCCCTGGACAGGAGATTGCTCATTTCTGCAATATTCCTCAGATGAAAGAAGGAAATTCTAGAAACCTCTTTGATATGGGATTTAAATGACAGACCTGATCAAAAATAACACCAAGATTTTTGACTTTATTATCTGAAATCAGTTTAATCCCATCCAAATGAAGTGACTGGCTAATCAGCTTCTTTTTCAGAGACTCTGGTCCAAAGACTATAACTTCTGTTTTATCTGCATTCAGAAGGAGAAAGTTAAGAGTCATCCAGGTTTTTATGTCTTCAGACATGCCTGTAATCTATGTAATGGGTTAGCTTCATCTGGATTTATAGACAGATATAGCTGGGTATCATCAGCATAACAGTGGAAATTAATCCCATGCTGTCTAATAACTCTACCGATTGGGAGCATGTATAAAGTAAAGAGAATTGGTCCTAGCACTGATCCCTGTGGTACTCCACAGGTAACCTTTGAGCGTGTTGAAGATCTATCATTAACATGAACAAACTGAATTCGATCAGATAGATCAGATTTAAACCAGTCTAGTGCTGTTCCTTTAATTCCAACAAAATATTCAAGTCTTTCTAAAAGAATATTATGGTCAACTGTATCAAATGCAGCACTGAGATCCAACAGGACGAGCACAGATACAAGTCCATTATCTGAGGCCATGAGAATATAATTAGTGACTTTCACCAGAGCTGTTTCAGTGCTATGATGAGCTCTAAAGCCAGACTGAAACTCTTCAAAAAGTTCATTATAGTGGAAGTGATCGCAAACTTGTTTGCAAACTACTTTCTCAAGAATTTTGGATAAGAAAGGAAGATTGGATATAGGTCTATAATTGACCAAGTCATCTGGGTCAAGAGACGGTTTCTTAAGCAGAGGTTTAATTACAGCAACCTTAAAAGCTTTAGGTACATATCCCTGTAACAGAGATAGATTAATCACATCTAAAATGGAGGAGGAGATCAAAGGGAATACATTGAAAATTTATCCACGCTAGAATACCGCGGTTACTACAATAGGCTACGAAACTGGTCCCATTTAAAAAACTGAATATCATGTACGCTAAAAAACAGAAGCTTTTTTTTTCTTTTATAAAACTAAATATTCGGAGTCAGCCAGGAGGTCTGAAGACTTCTGGAAAAACGGACAAATAAAGACTGTAAACTATCAACATTTCTGACTGTTAGCCACAGGAAAAGGAAAATGTGAGGGTTTCCTTTTTACTGACATTTAGTTACTATTATTGTTTTATTTTTTGACGACCCTTTGAGGAAGTTCAGGTATAATTATTAGTTATTTCCTTTATAGATTATAACAATAACAAATGGCGCCTAAACATCTGCTATTTATGGTTTAAGAAGCATAATTAGGGTTCAACATAATAGTAGTTCTATTTTATTGAATATTTCTATTTCTAGAAATACGATAAAGACAAAAACAAACAGGAACAATATTAACTTTGATTTTATCTTACATATATTTCCACACAGTCCATAAGTAAATTAATACAAACATTAATGTATGGTAAATAATGCTTGAATCTGGCTGTTTATTTAGAATATTATTACATTACAGATAAGATAGTGTTAGATTGTCTTCCTTGGTTTTCCCAGGATGCATTGCGAGACCAATCAAGCCGGCTGCTCTATGATCAGAGGAAAGGTTACTTGGCGCCAAACAGTGGTGAATGTTGGAAGTTCAATTCAATTCAGTTTATTTATACAGCGCCAAATTCACAACACATGTCATCTCAAGGCACTTTACAGTTCAACCAGATCATACAGTCAAATTGATACAAAGTTTTCTATCTAAGGAAAACCAGCTGATTGCATCGACTCATTGACTCTTCAGCAATCCCTCACACTAAGCATGCTTGTAGCGACAGTGGAGAGGAAAAACTCCCTTTGAACAGGAAGAAACCTCCAGCAGAACCAGGCTCAGTGTGAGCGGCCATCTGCTGAGGCCCACTGGGGTTCAAGGAGACAGAAGCAGACATAGAAAAAGAAGCATAGATACAAAAGGCAACTGTCAACCAGCTCCACAGGCGGCCCGTCCAGGAAACACACAGCCAGGCAGACGAGCTCCGAGCCAGCTCCCATGTCAGAGGATCATGAATCAGGTGAAAGCTGTGGACTCTGATAGTGTTTCAGGAAACTCAGCTGATGGCTGATCAGGAGATGAGACTCTGCAGGAGGAGGCAGGGCGGTACAGGGGGGGGTAATGACTTTCATTCATAAATCCATAACATCACATGTGACAAAGGTTATTAAAGACAAAACCGGGAGGTTCGTTATTCTACAGGGAACACTGAGCTCAGAGAACATTAACCTGATAAATATTTACGCCCCAAATGATGATGACCCAAAGTTTTTTAAAATCTCTTTCTTTCATTTTTCTCTTCAGCTGGCAGCTTTATTATAGCAGGAGATTCAAACTGAACAATGAACCCAGAACTGGACAGAAGTTCAGATGGTGGCAGATCTCACTCTAAAAGCAGACAAACAATTCAACACTTTATGAAGGAACTTCATTTGATGCATATTTGGAGAGACATGAATCCCAAAAGTTTAAAATATTTGTGTTATTCAAATACACATAAATCATATTCACACATTGATAATTTTCTAGTTTATGACAATTTGAGGCACAAAATTAAAGACTGTCAGTATGACAACGTTGTAATTTCGGATCATGCACCAAATTCAATCATTTATGAAGACGTGAAACTAAGGAGAGACCCTCCTACCTGGAGATTTAAACAGAAGTGGCCCACTGACCCAGAATTCATACTTTTTATAGATGAACAAATTAATAGTTATTTCCAAACCACTATGGATGAAACATCGTCCTCTTCGAGGTGGGAAGCCTTTAAGGCCTTTATGAGGGGTCAAATAATTAGCTTTACAAGTTATAATGCAAAAAAAAAAGATAAAAAAAACCAAAAGAATTGGCAGATGAGATTAAGATGCTTACTATCAAACCTTATGCCCAAACATCCATAAAAACGTTTTGATATTAAGAACACAGTATAATAAACTTTCTGCATCCAAGGCCACCTCACAACTTCTACGTCTTAAACAATCATTCTATGATCAACGGGAAAAGTCTGGAAATTATTAGCCTGGCGACTTAAACTATTAAAATAGACAAAGATATAACCGCAGTCGGAAATAATAAAGGACAAATTACTACAGATCCTTCAGAAATCAGTGAGAGTTTTAAAATCTTTTTTGAAAAACGATATAGCTCAGACATGAACAAAAGCCTTCATATTACCGATATCTCAATGAATACAGATCTCAGCACAGCTATAAATAAAGAGGAAATGTCTGAGGCAATAGATCAGGTGAAATAGGTAAGGCTCAACAGAACTATATAAGAAATCCAAACTGATAGATCCCCTTTTCAATGAAAAGGGGATCCTTCCTGCCTCACTAAGAGGAGCTCTGATCACTATACTGCCTAAACCTGGCAAACCTTGCAACAAAGACCAATAATTCTTCTCAATGTTGATTTAAATATTCCCTGTAAAATACTGGCTCAAAGATTGGAGAGAATTTGCCCAAATTAATTACTTGCACCCAAAATGGGTTTATAGCAGGAAGCAGGGATTTCCCAATGTGAGACGAGAACTGGATCTAATTTATAATATGGAAGAAAAACAGACACTGCTTTGCCGTCACTGGATGCAGAAAAGGCCTTGGATAGAGTTGGATGGCCGTTTTTATTTGACAGGCTGAAAAGATTCGGCTGTGGGGACAACTTCTGCCGATGGGATAAACTTCTATACAACAAGCCTTATGCAGAAATGGTTACTAATGGAATTAGATCTAAACCATTCCTGTGTTAATATCTAATAAACACATTTGGAAGAATATCAGGATGTAAAGTAAATACAGAAAAGTCTTCGATGATGTTACTGAATTCAGAAGAAAGAACCAGTGTTGGAAATCCTTCCCAATTCAAACCCGTAGACTGCTTTACATATTTGGGGGTTAGGATAGAACCACATATAAATGACACGGTTGCTGCTAACTTTACACCCATGGGGGACTCATTGCTGCCTGGATAGATGGAATTATCTGCCCTTGTCACTCATACCACGAATCAATGCCCTTAAATCCAATATAATGCCCAAACTTCTTATTTGTTTCAGAACATCCCACTGTCTCCTCCTGCCAATTTATTTTCAACCTTAAAAAATATTTTCACACGGTTTCTGTGGAATAATAGACGACCAATGCTTCGTTTAACACTTTAATATCTACCGTATGCTAGAGGAGGCCTCAGATGCCCCAACCCACTTTGGTACTAGTGGGCAGCTCAGCTGAGGACTATGATGCACTATTTACAGATAAATGTCTCTAACCTCGGGTGAATATTGGAAACTGTTCCTCTCCCTCTACCCCAGTATATTTACTCAGCAAATATCAGAATTTTGGATAAAAAAGAACCCTATTGTCAGAAACATGATCACGGTTTGGTATCTAGTTAAGAACTATCTAGGTGACCCCTCCTCTTTAACTAACTTCAGCCCAATATGGGGTCACCAGTCTGCCCACCAGGGTCACCAGTCTGCCCACCAGGCAGAGCAGATTCTGGTTCAGGAAATGGGCTGAAAGGTTTAAAGACAACAGGAGATCTGGTGGATTCAGAGAAGGAGGTCTGGATGCCATTTGAAGAGTTGAAGGCCAGGTATGAAATCCCAAGTGAACATTAAAATTTAAATATCTACAGGTGAGAAATTTGATTAGGTCATTTCAAAATAAATGTGAATTTATCCCCCCGCTGTCTACTTTGGAATGAAGAAGGATTGCTTTGGAAAAGGAATCATCTCCAGACTGTGTAACATGTTGGCTGAGGGATCCTCTGAGTCTTCTTGGCAGAACCTCAATGCCTGGAGGGAAGATCTACAGGAACATTTATCCTCACAGGACTGAGAGAAGGCGTGTGCTGAAGCACTAACTACTAACACACGCCTCATCCCAGAGCTGTGTCCTAGATGTGGAGAAGAGAAGGAACTTTTATTCGTTGTATCTGGAAATGCAAGAAAGTAGTAAAACTTTGGAGAGAGATTAAACAAGCTCTAGAAACTATATTAGGGATAAAACACATTTTTGATCCTAAAGTTTTTATCTCAGGATTATACCCAAAGAGATATCAAAAAAATTATCACTGCCGTAGATTTATGTCTATTACTTTTAAAAAGAGTCAAAGCACTTTCGTGGAAGAGAACCAGGAAACCAAAAGTCATTAATTGGATTAAAGAAATAAACAACCTTGCCAATGGAAAAGATTACATTCATTATAAAAGGGAAATTATCACTATTTCGAAATATTTGGGGTCCTTTTATGTAAATATATAAAACATGGATATGAGGGGTGTGGGGGGTGAACTATAGTTGCAGTTGGTCTCCTGCAGTGTCCTAAAATGACTTGGAGAAAGCATTTTACATTCACTCACACACTGATGGTGGTGAGCTACATGGTAGCCACAGCTGCCCTGGGGCTCACTGGCAGAGAGGCTGCCGTGCTCTGGCGCCACCTACTGACCACCATCAGTAGCCAATGCAGTTGAAGTATCTTGCTGAAGGACACAACCATACTGAAAGCCAGAGCCGGGCTCAAACCGACAACCCTCCGATTGCAGGGTAAACTCCTGCACCTGACGCCGCTGTCGCCTTTGCTAAAGGGGAAATGGATCAGTCAATTTCCCGCCTGCTGGAGCAGCTGCGTTATTCCCCAGCTGTGGCGCTATGCCTCCTGAAGGGGGCGGCGTTCTGCCATGGTAACCGTGTCTCCCTGCAAAGAACGTCTGATTCTTTAAATGTCTTTAGTCTCTTCACCTCCTTTGGGAACCTTCACTAGTTCCTGAGTTTGGGACCGTTTCAGCCAGACACTGGATGATTGAATGTTTGAGCGTCGTTGCTGATTGGTTGCGTGTGGCGAGCACCTCCATCTTAGATGGAGATTCTCTGTGCTGAGGTCAGTGCAGCTCTGAGCAGCAGGGTCTCTCAATGACTTTGATGTTTTCTCTATTTTAAAATCTTGTCTAAATCTGTGTCTCTGGCTCCCTCCTCGGGATTAGAAGGGTTACTGCACCTGATTGTTGCTATAGTTTCTGCTGGGAATGAGGAACCTGAAGTCTGAGGGTGTTAATGAGCCGACGAACACCAGAATCCATCTTTTCTCGCTCCGGCTCCAGCCAGTGGAGACTGCATCAGTATTATGGTTGGAGGCCTCCTCCCTCCCTCCACCTCCTCCTCTGATAGACAGTGCAGAGGGTAGCTCTGCCTCAGATGACGGCTCTGTTACTGGCAGTCGCGCGTCCTCCACTCCTCTAAACCCGCCTTCCTGGCTCCATGTGGCTGGATGGAGCTGCGCTGTAATAGATCAGTTCCTGAAGCATTCAGAGTGGGAACAGGCCAGCCTGTTCTTCCCTCCAAACTTTTAGCCTTTAGAAGGAAGCAGGAGGCGGAGTCCAGGTTTGGGGTTAAAGGTTACTTAGACCCCGAGGAAGACTGACTGCAGGAAGACTGACTGGGAATGTTTGGTCTTTTCCAGAACTGTCCTCAACGCTGGAGAAGAAGCAGGAAGCCGTCCTCGTCACCAACACTGCGCCCATGTATCCTGCCTTTAAGAGTGAGTTCTTCCTCCTGATGATTACCTCACTTCCTGCTCAGACGTTTCACCGCCACCCCCCCCCCCCCCCATCAGGGATATGGACCTACATCCAGAGGGCACTGGTGAAAAAATACGCCACAGAGAGAAACGGAGTCAACGTTCTGGTTGGACCGATATTTGACCACAACTATGATGGAGTCAGAGACTCGGCGGAGACCATCAGAGAGTAGGAACCTTCTGCTTTTATAAACTTTGCTTCCTGTTCCTCTGGACTCGGAGTCCTTTGGTCTTCAGTTTCTGACCGCAGGTTTGGGTTTAAATCACCAACAAAGATCTAAAGTTATTTAAAGGAGTGCCGAGTCAGCAGAGGACTCGCAGGAAGAGAAAGTTGGACTTGCTTGGTTTCTAGGGAAACTGCTAGAACGGCAAAATCCTCCCATTTATAAGGAGTTTATGTTTTGTTTAACCAATCAGAGAGGGCGTAGGTTTACCACCGTCTGACAATAAGAACAGGAAGGAAACTAAAAGAGCAAATAGATCAAACAGCCTGCCTCCGCTGCTGATTGGTCCATTTTCTCCCAATCTTCTCTGACGTCATTCTGGGTGTTTGGACTCTGAAGGGTTTAGAGGTCCGACTCTGACACTATTCAATAAATAAACATTAAATCCACTCAAATGCAGCAGATAAACTAATAAATGTTAGCAGCTGTTAGCAGCAGTACTGCTAACTACTGACACAAAGCAGAAACGCAGACCAGACGACTTCTCTCTTCAGCCTCGAGGGCAGATTTACTTTAAACAGACAAACTGCTCTTCCAGCTGTCTGTCAGATCTGGAAGCGGGCTCATATATAACTCAATAGCACCCCCTTGTGGTGAGGAACAGATAAGTACAGTACAGAACACATTCAGTCAGTCATACACACATGTCACCAGCAGCCATTAGATTGGCTCCTTTCTAATAATTATTGATTTCTGATCAATTATTTCATTTCTGGGTTGGATTTTCTCTGTAGAGGAGCTTCTAGATCTGCTGCTTCTAGACGTGTTGCTGCTCTGATCTTTGGCCGGATTGAAGCCAGAACTGAACATCTAGTCTGCAGCTCCTTGGAAGCAAAGCTTTTCTAGTTGCTGCGCTTCTATCTGCTGTTTATCAAACATGGAGCCTTTTATGGGCAGGGGAAGTTTATTCTGCTGATGTCTGGAGTTTGTCTACAGTGGGACCAGTAACAGGCTGTAACTGGGTTTAAATCCTCTCCTGGCTGACAGCAGCGTCTGATCCCTTCTTTTCCAGCTGGTCCAGTGGAACCATCGCCATCCCATCCCATTACTTCCTGGTTCTGACCAGCTGCCTGGACTTCTCCCAGCCAGCAGAGTCCTGCAGCGGCCCGCTGAGCAGCGCCGCCTTCATCCTGCCTCACCGACCGAGTAACAAGGAGACCTGCAACGTAAGCAGCATCTATGAGCAGAGCTCCTCCACCAGCATGTTCCTCCTTCCTCCAGAGGCTCAGGCAGGATAGAGGGTCTCAGTCAGAAGCTTCCAGGGTAACGCTGGCAGGTTTTCCTGCAGGAATCTCAACAGGTTCTCTCCACATTTGTACCTGAAGTTGCGGTTGTAGAACTTCAAAAAGATTACTATGGAAAAAGAAAAATGATATGAATCATCATTTTGGAGTCACCCCCAATTATGCAGCACATATGGTGCATTTCCCAAATCAGAAACTGCATACCCAGTTACGTTAAATACAGTTCTGATTTGAGCCTAAACATGGCTACCAAGGTCCACCAGCTAACTTTGCTGTCCACTGGGATTCAACCAGTCCTAACTTCATGGCATGAGCTGCTTTCAATGCCAGAGTCACCCCCTGGAATCATCTCCTTCCTCCTGGCAGGTCTGGTTTCACCACCTAAAGCTGAATCCTGTGGTGCTGAGCGCTCAGCGCCGCCAGCGTCTCCTCCTGCTTTTCATGCTTCCATCTTAAACATGTTGGTTAACAGAGACCCCAGTGATGACGCATTGTCTCCGCCCCTCTCCACAGAGCTCTGAGGACGAGTCCCGCTGGGTGGAGGACCTGATGAAGATGCACACGGCTCGGGTCAGAGATGTGGAGCTGCTCACAGGACTGGACCTGTACCGAAGAACCGGCCGCAGCTACGCCGAGATCCTCTCCTTAAAAACATACATGCACACGTATGAGAGTGAGATCTGACCTCTGACCTCTGCTGCTGTGGGGAACGGATGTGGAACCAGGAAGTCCTCCGTGGACCAGCAGCGCTGCTTTCATCTCCATCCGGTTTCATCCAGTTCACTGAGCCTCCTGCTGGGATGAAGAAGTAAATCCTTCATCTGCCTGCTTCATGCGGTCTGACTGGTTCTATCTGAGGGATTTTTCAGCCTGACAGGAAATCAGCTTTTTATGTTTCTGGTTCCTCTAATGGGATCAGTGGAGGGCCACTGATTTAACAAGGGGCGTGATTACTTTTCCACAGATTGGTTTGGATGCTTCAATAATGAAATTATTAATTAACAGTGTTTTTACTCAGCCTGTATCTGTCTGGATATTAGCGTCAGTGGGACAAAACATCCATGATGCAAAAACATAAAAAACCAGAAAATAAAATTCTGCAATTAGAGAAACTGATCAAAAACAAAAAGAATAGATTAAAAGTTTGTTCAGCAGCAGAGTGTCTGCAGCAGCAGCAGAACGTCTGCAGCACCAGCAGAACGTCTGCAGCAGCAGAAGGTCTGCAGCAGCAGCAGAACGTCTGCAGCACCAGCAGAACGTCTGCAGCAGCAGAAGGTCTGCAGCACCAGCAGAACGTCTGCAGCAGCAGCAGAACGTCTGCAGCAGCAGCAGAACGTCTGCAGCAGCAGAACGTCTGCAGCAGCAGAACGTCTGCAGCACCAGCAGAACGTCTGCAGCAGCAGAACGTCTGCAGCACCAGCAGAACGTCTGCAGCAGCAGAACGTCTGCAGCAGCAGAACGTCTGCAGCACCAGCAGAACGTCTGCAGCACCAGCAGAACGTCTGCAGCAGCAGAAGGTCTGCAGCACCAGCAGAACGTCTGCAGCAGCAGCAGAAGGTCTGCAGCAGCAGCAGAACGTCTGCAGCAGCAGAACGTCTGCAGCACCAGCAGAACGTCTGCAGCACCAGCAGAACGTCTGCAGCAGCAGAAGGTCTGCAGCAGCAGCAGAACGTCTGCAGCAGCAGAACATCTGCAGCAGCAGAAGGTCTGCAGCACCAGCATGACGTCTGCAGCAGCAGCAGAAGGTCTGCAGCAGCAGCAGAACGTCTGCAGCAGCAGAACGTCTGCAGCACCAGCAGAACGTCTGCAGCAGCAGAAGGTCTGCAGCAGCAGCAGAACGTCTGCAGCAGCAGAACATCTGCAGCAGCAGCAGAACGTCTGCAGCAGCAGCAGAACGTCTGCAGCAGCAGAGAGTCTGCAACAGCAGCAGAACGTCTGCAGCAGAACATCTGCAGCAGCAGAACATCTGCAGCAGCAGAACGTCTGCAGCAGCAGAGTCTGCAGCAGCAGAACGTCTGCAGCAGCAGAGAGTCTGCAGCAGCAGCAGAACATCTGCAGCAGCAGAGAGTCTGCAGCAGCAGAGAGTCTGCAGCAGCAGCAGAACATCTGCAGCAGCAGAGAGTCTGCAGTAGCAGAGAGTCTGCAGCAGCAGAGAGTCTGCAGCAGCAGAGAGTCTGCAGCAGCAGCAGAACATCTGCAGCAGCAGAGAGTCTGCAGTAGCAGAGAGTCTGCAGCAGCAGAGAGTCTGCAGCAGCAGCAGAATGTCTGCAGCAGCAGCAGAGTCTGCAGCAGCAGAGAGTCTGCAGCAGCAGAGAGTCTGCAGCAGCAGCAGAACGTCTGCAGCAGCAGAGAGTCTGCAGCAGCAGCAGCAGAGAGTCTGCAGCAGCAGCAGAACGTCTGCAGCAGCAGCAGAACTTCTGCAGCAGCAGCAGAACGTCTGCAGCAGCAGCAGAGAGTCTGCAGCAGCAGCAGAACGTCTGCAGCACCAGCAGAACGTCTGCAGCACCAGCAGAACGTCTGCAGCAGCAGAAGGTCTGCAGCAGCAGCAGAACTTCTGCAGCAGCAGCAGAAGGTCTGCAGCAGCAGCAGAACTTCTGCAGCAGCAGCAGAAGGTCTGCAGCAGCAGCAGAACGTCTGCAGCAGCAGAACGTCTGCAGCACCAGCAGAACGTCTGCAGCAGCAGAAGGTCTGCAGCAGCAGCAGAACGTCTGCAGCAGCAGAACATCTGCAGCAGCAGAAGGTCTGCAGCACCAGCAGAAGGTCTGCAGCAGCAGCAGAAGGTCTGCAGCAGCAGCAGAACGTCTGCAGCAGCAGAACGTCTGCAGCACCAGCAGAACGTCTGCAGCACCAGCAGAACGTCTGCAGCAGCAGAAGGTCTGCAGCAGCAGCAGAACGTCTGCAGCAGCAGAACATCTGCAGCAGCAGAAGGTCTGCAGCACCAGCATGACGTCTGCAGCAGCAGCAGAAGGTCTGCAGCAGCAGCAGAACGTCTGCAGCAGCAGAACGTCTGCAGCACCAGCAGAACGTCTGCAGCACCAGCAGAACGTCTGCAGCAGCAGAAGGTCTGCAGCAGCAGCAGAACGTCTGCAGCAGCAGAACATCTGCAGCAGCAGCAGAACGTCTGCAGCAGCAGCAGAACGTCTGCAGCAGCAGAGAGTCTGCAACAGAAGCAGAACGTCTGCAGCAGAACATCTGCAGCAGCAGAACATCTGCAGCAGCAGAACGTCTGCAGCAGCAGAGTCTGCAGCAGCAGAACGTCTGCAGCAGCAGAGAGTCTGCAGTAGCAGAGAGTCTGCAGCAGAACATCTGCAGCAGCAGAACGTCTGCAGCAGCAGAGAGTCTGCAGCAGCAGAACGTCTGCAGCAGAACATCTGCAGCAGCAGAACATCTGCAGCAGCAGAACGTCTGCAGCAGCAGAACGTCTGCAGCAGCAGAGAGTCTGCAGCAGCAGAACGTCTGCAGCAGCAGAGAGTCTGCAGTAGCAGAGAGTCTGCAGCAGCAGAGAGTCTGCAGCAGCAGCAGAACGTCTGCAGCAGCAGAGAGTCTGCAGCAGCAGCAGCAGAGAGTCTGCAGCAGCAGCATAACATCTGCAGCAGCAGAGAGTCTGCAGTAGCAGAGAGTCTGCAGCAGAACATCTGCAGCAGCAGAACGTCTGCAGCAGCAGAACGTCTGCAGCAGCAGAGAGTCTGCAGCAGCAGAACGTCTGCAGCAGCAGAGAGTCTGCAGTAGCAGAGAGTCTGCAGCAGCAGAGAGTCTGCAGCAGCAGAGAGTCTGCAGCAGCAGCAGAACGTCTGCAGCAGCAGAGAGTCTGCAGCAGCAGCAGAACATCTGCAGCAGCAGAGAGTCTGCAGCAGCAGAATGTCTGCAGCAGCAGCAGAGTCTGCAGCAGCAGAGAGTCTGCAGCAGCAGAGAGTCTGCAGCAGCAGCAGAACGTCTGCAGCAGCAGAGAGTCTGCAGCAGCAGCAGCAGAGAGTCTGCAGCAGCAGCAGAGAGTCTGCAGCAGCAGCAGAACGTCTGCAGCAGCAGCAGAACTTCTGCAGCAGCAGCAGAGCGTCTGCAGCAGCAGAACGTCTGCTGCAGCAGCAGAACTTCTGCAGCAGCAGCAGAACGTCTGCAGCAGCAGCAGAGAGTCTGCAGCAGCAGCAGAACGTCTGCAGCACCAGCAGAACGTCTGCAGCACCAGCAGAACGTCTGCAGCAGCAGAAGGTCTGCAGCAGCAGCAGAACTTCTGCAGCAGCAGCAGAAGGTCTGCAGCAGCAGCAGAACTTCTGCAGCAGCAGCAGAAGGTCTGCAGCAGCAGCAGAACGTCTGCAGCAGCAGAACGTCTGCAGCACCAGCAGAACGTCTGCAGCACCAGCAGAACGTCTGCAGCAGCAGAAGGTCTGCAGCAGCAGCAGAACGTCTGCAGCAGCAGAACATCTGCAGCAGCAGAAGGTCTGCAGCACCAGCAGAACGTCTGCAGCAGCAGCAGAAGGTCTGCAGCAGCAGCAGAAGGTCTGCAGCAGCAGCAGAACGTCTGCAGCAGCAGAACGTCTGCAGCACCAGCAGAACGTCTGCAGCACCAGCAGAACGTCTGCAGCAGCAGAACGTCTGCAGCACCAGCAGAACGTCTGCAGCAGCAGAAGGTCTGCAGCAGCAGCAGAACGTCTGCAGCAGCAGAACATCTGCAGCAGCAGCAGAACGTCTGCAGCAGCAGAACATCTGCAGCAGCAGCAGAACGTCTGCAGCAGCAGCAGAACGTCTGCAGCAGCAGAGAGTCTGCAGCAGCAGCAGAATGTCTGCAGCAGCAGCAGAGTCTGCAGCAGCAGAGAGTCTGCAGCAGCAGAGAGTCTGCAGCAGCAGCAGAACGTCTGCAGCAGCAGAGAGTCTGCAGCAGCAGCAGCAGAGAGTCTGCAGCAGCAGCAGAACGTCTGCAGCAGCAGCAGAACTTCTGCAGCAGCAGCAGAACGTCTGCAGCAGCAGCAGAACGTCTGCAGCAGCAGCAGAGAGTCTGCAGCAGCAGCAGAACGTCTGCAGCACCAGCAGAACGTCTGCAGCACCAGCAGAACGTCTGCAGCAGCAGAAGGTCTGCAGCAGCAGCAGAACTTCTGCAGCAGCAGCAGAAGGTCTGCAGCAGCAGCAGAACTTCTGCAGCAGCAGCAGAAGGTCTGCAGCAGCAGCAGAACGTCTGCAGCAGCAGAACGTCTGCAGCACCAGCAGAACGTCTGCAGCACCAGCAGAACGTCTGCAGCAGCAGAAGGTCTGCAGCAGCAGCAGAACGTCTGCAGCAGCAGAACATCTGCAGCAGCAGAAGGTCTGCAGCACCAGCAGAACGTCTGCAGCAGCAGCAGAAGGTCTGCAGCAGCAGCAGAAGGTCTGCAGCAGCAGCAGAACATCTGCAGCAGCAGAACGTCTGCAGCACCAGCAGAACGTCTGCAGCACCAGCAGAACGTCTGCAGCAGCAGAAGGTCTGCAGCAGCAGCAGAACGTCTGCAGCAGCAGAACATCTGCAGCAGCAGCAGAACGTCTGCAGCAGCAGAACATCTGCAGCAGCAGCAGAACGTCTGCAGCAGCAGAACATCTGCAGCAGCAGCAGAACGTCTGCAGCAGCAGAGAGTCTGCAACAGCAGCAGAACGTCTGCAGCAGAACATCTGCAGCAGCAGAACATCTGCAGCAGCAGAACGTCTGCAGCAGCAGAGAGTCTGCAGCAGCAGAGAGTCTGCAGTAGCAGAACGTCTGCAGCAGCAGAGAGTCTGCAGCAGCAGAACGTCTGTAGCAGCAGAGAGTCTGCAGTAGCAGAGAGTCTGCAGCAGAACATCTGCAGCAGCAGAACGTCTGCAGCAGCAGAGAGTCTGCAGCAGCAGAACGTCTGCAGCAGAACATCTGCAGCAGCAGAACATCTGCAGCAGCAGAACGTCTGCAGCAGCAGAACGTCTGCAGCAGCAGAACGTCTGCAGCAGCAGAGAGTCTGCAGCAGTAGAACGTCTGCAGCAGCAGAGAGTCTGCAGCAGCAGAGAGTCTGCA